AAATTTTGAATTTTTGGATTTTTCAATTTTTAGATTGACAATTTTTCATTTTTTCGATTTTAGACTTCACTTTCTCGATTTTTCTGGTTTTCATTTTAAATATGTACCTAATAATAATAACAATTTTTAAAATTTTTCACTTTTTCAGTTTTACGTTTCTACAGTTTTTCTATTTTTCAATTATTGGATTTTAAAACTTTTTCACTTATTCGATTTTTCAAATTTTCGTGTTTTAGTGCATATATATTTCAATTTTTCGATCTTACAATTTTGAGATTCTGTAAGTTTTCAAATTCACAATTTTACGAGTCGATTCGTTTTTCCTTTTTTTAAGTTTCCCAATTTTTGATTTTTCAATGTTTCGATTTTTCGTTTCTTCAGTTCTTCGACTTGCAAATTTTTGGGGTTTTTCGATATTTCAATTTTTCCATTTTAAAATTTTTCGTTTTCTCAATTTAGACTTTTCAGTCTCTGTCTTTCAATTTTTCGTTTTAAATGTGTTTAATTTTTTAGTTTCTGGATATTTAATTTTTCAATTTTTCGACATTACAATTTCCCGATTTTTAATTTTTCCATTTTCCACCTTTTCGATTTTGCAATTTTTCGTTTTTTCGATTTTCCATTTTTTTCGACTTTTTTGTTTTTCGATTTTCCAATTTTTAGATTTTTTAACTTTTCGAATCAAAAAAATGGAAAATTGTAAAATTGAACAATCAAAAATGGAAAAGTATAAAATGGAAACGTGAAAAAAACTAAAATTGGAAGTAAAGAATTTGAAATATTGAAGAAACGGAAAACTGAAAAATCAAAAGATTAAAAATTGAGAAACTTAGGAAATATTGTAAAATCGAAACGTTGAAAATTATGTAAAGAAATCGGAGAATTGAAAAATCAAAAAATTATAAAATTGAAAAATCTAAAAATTGTAAAATCGAGGAATTGAATTTTCAAACATTGAAAAATGGAAAAATTCAAAAATCGTAAAATTGAAAAGGTGAAAAATTTGTAAAATTGCAATAGACACATTTAAAATGAAACTTATAGAAATTGAGAAACTTAGGAAATATTGTAAAATCGAAACATTGAAAATTAAAGAAATCGGAAAATTGGATAATAGAAAAATCAAAAAATTGTAAAATTGAAAAAACTAAAAATTGGAAAAATCGAGGAATTGAAACATTTGAAGAATTAAATAAACAAACATTGTAAAATCGAAAGAAATAAAAATAAAGCAAATGAGAAAACTAAAAATTGTGATACAAAATCGGGAAAATGAAAATAAAAAATCAGGAAAATGAAAATAAAAAAAAATAAGTTAAAAAATTGCGGAAGCGAAAAATTGAAAAATCGAAAAATTAAAAATTGAGAAACTGAAAAATCGAAAAATGAAAAATTATAATATTGAAAAATTGCAACATTGACAAATTGCAAATCCAAACATTGAAGAAACGAAAAATTAGACAAGTGGAGAAATTGAAAAATAAAATAGTAAAAAAATTTGAAAATTGAAAACTTGTGAAATATCAAAAGCTAAAAACTGAAACATCTAAAAGTTGGACAATTGAAAAACTGAAAAATTAAAAATGAAAACTCTAAGAGGTGTAAAATTGAAGAAACAAATGAAAAGAAAAATTGAAAAATTGCAAATCGAAAAATTGAAGAAACGGAATTGAAGAAATTGAAATTGAAAAAACAAAAAATTGTTAAAACTGAAATGAAAAACTGCTAATCGACAATTTAAAGAAAAGAAAAAATTGAAAAATCTAAAAATTGAAAGATTAAAAACGGAGAATTGAAAGGTCGAATATATTAAAAAGTTTTAAAATCCAATAATTGTAAAATGGAAAAATTCTAAAATCGTAAAACTGCATGTGAAAATTTTTAAAAATTATCTTCATTACATATTTAAAATGAAAACTAGGAAGTCGAAGAAACGGAAAATTGAAAAACATAAAACTGAAAAATCTAAAATTTAAAATACCAAAAATTAAAAAGTCTGAAAACTGAAATATCGAAAAATTGTAAACCGAAAAATTGCAAATCAAAAAATTGAAAAATCCAAAAATTGAAAGATTTTACATAAAAAAGAGGGAAATTATGAAAATAGACCATTGAAAAGCCGAAAAATTCAACACATGAAAAATCGAAAAACTGAAAAATTTTTAAATTAAAAGAAAGAACCGAAAATCTGAAATTTTGAATTGAAAAATTGAAGAAACAAAAAATTTAAACTTGGAAAAACACATAAAATGGGAACGAAAAATTGCAAATCGAAAAACTGAAAAATAAAATCGGAAACTCAAATGGAAAAATTGCAAAAGTAAAAAACTGAAACATGCAAGCATGAAAGATATAATTGAACAAACGAAAATTAAAAATTGAAAAATTGCAAATCGAAAAATTGAAGAAAAAAACAATTGAAAAAAATAAAATTGAACAAACAAAATTCGGAACATTGAAAATTCGAATAATTGTAAAAAAAAGGGAGAAAATAAAAAACCGAGACGAAAGATTGCAAATCGAAAATTTATAGAATTGAAAAATTGAAATATTAAAAATTTAAAATTCGAGCAATTGCAAGTGGGTAAAATTGCAAAATGTAAAAATTGAAGAAACAAGAAAAATGAAAAATTGAAGACACCAAAAATTATAAAATTGAAAACATTATTACATTGAAAAATCAAATGATTAGAAAAATAAAGAAAATAAAAAAGTGTTATAATTTTTCAACAAGCAACCAATTTTTTTCCAAATGGAAAAATTGAATAATTAAGGAAAATGAAAATAAAAAATCAGTAAAATAAAATAAAAAAAGTTAAGTTAAAAAATTGCGGAAGCGAAAAATTGAAAAATCGAAAAATGAAAAATTATAATACTGAAAAATTGCAAAATTGACAAATTGCAAATCCAAACATTGAAGAAACGAAAGATTGAACAAGTGGAGAAAAAAATTAAATTTAGAAAACGAAAAATTATGAATACCGAAACATTGAAAAAATAAAGAAAATGAAATAACGCAAACTGAAAAATTGAAAATTTGAAAAAGCAAAAGCTAAAAACTCAAAAATCTAAAAGTGGGACAATTGAAAAGCTGAAAAATTAAAAATGAAAACTTCAAGAGGTGCAAAAATGAAAAAACAAAAGAAAAGCAAAAATTGAAAAATTACAAATCGAAAAATTTAAGAAACAAAAATTTGTTAAAACTGAAACGAAAAATTGCTAATCCAAAATTTGAAGTAATGAAAAAACTGAAAAATCTAAAAATTGAAAAATTAAAAACGAAAAATTTATAGGTCAAATATATTAAAAAGTTTTAAAATCCAATCATTGTAAAATGGAAAAATTCTAAAATCGTAATATTGCATGTGAAAAAATTTAAAAATTGTCTTCATTACATATTTAAAATGAAAACTGGGAAATTGAAGAAACGAAAATTGAAAAAGCCTGGAAGTTAAAATATCGAAAAATTGTAAACCGAAAAATTGCAAATCGAAAAATTGAAAAATCGAAAAATTGAAAGATTTTATTTGCAAGACAGGACAGATCTTAGTGATCCTTCCATTTTGTAGGGAAAACCCCTGTTTCAAGAAATTTATTAAATATTAATAGGAGTGATTTAGACAAACAATTTGGGTCGAGGGGTTGAAACTAGCGGGCGACATCTTTATTCATTAGAATAAAATAATTAATCACTTTCTAATTTTTTGCGTCTAATAAATGATTATATAAGAATTATAATAATATTCAGAGCATTTTGTTCGATTGTTCCTGTTTTTAGGCGACAAACTCATTCGAATCAAACTTAATTTCTACGTGGCATTTTCCCGGTATATAAACATAAACAGTTCAAGTTGTTTTATTATCGCTGAGAGGCCATTTTTACTTATTGGGCGTAAGCTAAGTTAGTACAGTAATAGAGTCCATCGAGCGACTTGGTACTTTCATATGTTTTCCACGTTTCATGACCCCTAAACAGAAATGTTTTTGCATTGTTGTAGAAAATTCTTCCTCTTATGAAATTCATTACTAAGAACAGATTTTACTTCGTCCTTTAAAAAAAAAACGAACGTGGATCGAAATTATGTGTTAAAAGTTGCAACAAGCCCGTATATTTCCTATATTTCTAACAGCCCCCAGTGGATAAACATTTCGGTCGCCAAAATTATTTGTAAAACGACTACCCTGACACCGTATTTATCCAATTTACTACCTGCATAATAGATTTAACTAACTAGTTGACGAGCAACTGCCAAACCGTGGTCCGGCCCTCGCATAATCACCCAAATTCAATTCAAATGCAAATGTAACGTGAGAGTAACCACCTAAATCAAATTTCCAGCATAGGCAACTATCGAAATATGAAGCTTCAATGCAGTTTGATTAGTTCCATTTATTAAATCGGCCGACAGTGGCTTCAAATTACCACAGCGTCGCGTCGTTCCACCTTCCATTACTACATATTTCCACTTTCTGTCTACCTAAAGGCAACCCGAGATAAATAACGTCGAGATTTCAGCGTCATCATAACTTAGGGCTTTCGGGACGTTAATTGAAAAGAATTTTATTGCGGAGTGCGAAGAATGAGAGAAATTATATTGTCAAAGTGGGAAAGAACATTAAGTTGAAAAATTCCGAAGTTTTAATGCATCCGTAAAGAAACAACGGAAATTTAAAAAGTGGAAAGTTTACATTCTAAATTAAATCGTTCCCTTCAGGATAATAAGCATCAAGGTGCCTAACTACCAACGGCCCCATTCCCTCTACTTTATCACCGCCGAGCCCACCTTAACGTCAAGTGTTTTCAGCGTTAAAGAAACGAATTTGTCTGCGCGCTTTTTGCTCAAACTGCAAACTTAGTTCAGATATTAGAGTTCGCACGCAGTGGATTTTTTTTTTCAGAATTGAATTTTCGCACTATAAGAAATGCATACTAAGCTGCGAACTATATCACCAAGTCAAATTTGCCGCGCACATCTGCGCATGCGCACACCGCTAATAACAAACAAACCAACATAACCTCACTTCTTTTCCAATGTGTAATGCTAATCAAACGCATTCTATACCCAGTAACCGGTCCCATTTGATACAATTGCACCCTTATTCGTTATAATTCCAGTTTCTGCACCCAACACGTCGCAACTCCTCCACCATGGTTCGTTTCTTGGGTCAACAAGACGCAATAAAAATCGACGAAGAACTCTTCAATGATTACAAGTTTTCAGTGGATCAGCTCATGGAACTCGCCGGTTTAAGTTGCGCAACCGCGATAGCTAAGTGTTACCCGGCTGACACAATTGGAAAAAAGGCGATTTTGATTTGTTGTGGTCCGGGTAATAATGGGGGAGATGGGTTGGTTTGTGCCCGACACTTACAACTATTTGGTTACACAACCAAAATATTTTACCCAAAGCGAACTGAGAAGCCGCTTTATACCAATTTAGTGCACCAAGCCAACGCCTCGAACGCCGTTTTGTTGGAAAAACTGCCACAACAGAGTGACATTGATTCCAACTATGGACTCATAGTAGACGCTTTGTTTGGGTTTAGTTTTAAGCCACCGGTTCGTGACTCATTTAAGCCCGTTATTGAGTTAATGAAGTGCTCAAAAGTACCCCTTGTTAGGTAAATACATGTCAGGTGTGTCATTAATTTTATAATTTTGGTTCATAGTATTGATATTCCAAGTGGTTGGCATGTGGAAGATGGGAAACCGGACGACGGGATTGATCCAGAGATGCTGATTTCGTTAACAGCGCCCAAACAATGCGCGCAGACTTTCACAGGCAAGTACCACTATTTAGGGGGGCGATTTGTGCCTCCGCAATTGGAGGACAAGTACAAGTTGAACATACCGCAATACCCAGGAACTGAGTGCTGCGTTTCATTAAAATGAGGGTTTTTTTTTAACTTTAATTGATCATGGATGCACGAAATATTTTAGATAAAAATATTAGGATTAATTGTCCAATTGGGATTAATAAAAACGTTATTATGAAGTAGAGCAGAATGCAAAGCACCATGAGTTCTCCCATGAAAAGCGAAACTTTAATAACTTGGTCTGACGTGGTTTCAGCTTCACAAATCTCTATCATCTTGTCTAAGATAAATCTTAATAGAAAAACGAATCCATCAAAAAGGGGTAGGAGATTGTAAAACATTATTATGATGTTCATTCCTGCACTGTAGGTGTGTTGACATAGCGCTTTTATAAGATCCACGAAAGAGTATGTGCTGGAAAAAGTCTATAAACGTTTGGTGAGGTACAATGCAGACTTACTCTAGTTTGGACAATCCTTTCTGCTCTTGATAATTGGCAATGGGGGATCTGACCCGCCGAAGGAATCTCACTGTGGATTCAGAAGACATGAGAGTGATTTCTCCAGGTAGGTAACTCTTTATAAAGTGCGAGTATTTCGTAGACATCGCAAAAACCACGAAACAAAACTAATTTTGGCAAAATCGTGCGATTTTTGACAGATTGGTGATAAAAAAACACTTGATTACAAAAGTCACTTTATTATTACATTCCTAAGATAATAGATTGTACATTTGCTTGTAGACATTTGTCATCTATGAATAACTCACGTCGTGGTGAAACCTGTAACGAGTATTATAAATTTTATATTAAATTGTAGTCACCACTTACAGGATTTTTTTGATGATTAAATCCGTCTTTTGTAAAATATACACAGTCAGTGTCAGTTTTAATTTCATAGTGTTTACAGTCCTGAATTAGTTCGCCGTCTGATCCATATAGCAGAAGCACTTTTAGAATTTTCAACGGGAAATTTAAATTTTTACTATGGTACGCCACTGACATCGTTCGGAACGCCCTCCGCCGAACTTCTGTCAAATGTAAAGCCGCCAGGGCTGCCAACAGCGGCGGCATATCTTTCATCAAACGACACAATCGTACAAAATTTCCGTTTTGGAAACTTCTAGACATGTCTATGGCATTTCGTACGACGTTTGTTCTAAAACACAGTGTGAATACTGTATTAAAAACGACCCAACACTTCGTACTTGCACTTTTCCGGTATTGACAGTGACCTCCGCAAAGCTTCATCATTCCCTAGATTAAAAATCAAGTACAAAGCTTCAAATTCGGGTCGAGTTTCCAATAAATATTGATTGCACGCTGAATTCGTATCACAGTTGATTAAGTAATCGTAACTATCGTAAAAATGTAGCAGTCTTTTCAAACACTCCTGTAAATGGTTGTTGTTCAAGGTGGCGTCAAAGTTGGCAACACTGTGCTCACATAACCTAAAAACAACAGTCGCGAATTTATATTTATTGTGGTTGTTACCGACTGGTATGCCGCGTATGCGTGAAATCGCACGATCGGCTGCAGGATGGTTATACTTTCGGCCTTTGAAATGTTCTGTACCACCATATCTTGTCTCACAGCCAGAAGTCGATCGGTGATAAAATCGTAGACCACATGCCACGGCACTTTTTTAGTTGTAATTACGCTGAAACGAAACACTGGAGTAACTTTGGGGGTCAATGTAAGTCATTACTCGCATAATAAATATCTGACGGTTTTGAGTAAAGTTGGTGGGGGCCTGAGGGCCTCGATTTGAATCTGCTTTCCAGCGGCCGATCTGCTGAAAGACTTGACCATGTGGGGCCTGCTGGCTTTGGGGTGTCGCGTTTTTTCAGTGCCTGGAACCATTTCCAGAACGTGGAGTAGTCGTTCTCGCTCTCGCCTGCAAAAGTGTGACAGTGTGCTTTCGAGACGGGTTTTACTTACTACATTTTGATTTCTTCATGGGGGCACATCCCCATACATTTACCTTCGATGGATAAAGCGACTTTTTCCATACTTTGACTGACTGTCTGTGTCAATCCATCACTTGTTTGTGGTTGTAATTATTATAGGTTATTTTTGTACGCGTGCGCAAATAAAAACTACTAAAATAAGTTTTATTTTGTTCATGATAAATTATAAAAATTATAGTATAAAATTCCTAGTACGAGCGGGTATAATTGCCATGTTTATACAGAGTGACCGACACGTTGATAATAAGCATGGGCAACAATACCCAAAACGGGATCAGTACGTGGTAGATGGACAACTGCAGCGATTCGTACTCCAGTTTCAAGCACAGGATCAACTGGGCTGCGATTTTCAGAAGCGCAACCACGATAAGCGTTATGTTTTTGTTCTTGAAGATTGTTCGGGGGTTTTCGTGCTTGCATAAAACGAAAATGTGGAAGAGGGCGTCGATGAGTAAGATGGTGTCGAATACCCACATTGGCAGGAAAATTAGGAACCAGCTCCAGTGTATTCGGGTTTCCAGGCGGAGCGATAAAATTATTAAAAAGACGAGGAGGATGAACCATGTAAAAAGGGCTCTGTGCATTACCATTGTGACGGTTTTGGAGGTTAGCTTCGGGGATCATGGGGCCATTGTTGGGTGTTCTAGAATCACGATGGTGGTTAAGGGGTAAATTAGTAGTTATTTTCGTACAACTGGGTCACTCGGGGGCTGATTTATGACACGGGGTGGTCTTTTTCAGAATTGTAAACAATTAACATAACCTCAATTTGTGATTGTAGTGTCAATCGAAGTTGAACGAAAAGTGACGACGGAGATCACGATCATAATGATCTAGGTTAGGAGACAAACGCGTTAAAATGATAACTACATCAATTTTTGTGGTTGTTTTCGATACACTGTATGATATTAACAGTGAGAGAAAAAAAAAAACAATTAAAATAATCGAAAAATCCAGAAATCTAATAATTAGATTTAAAAAATCGGATAACTGAAAAATCGAAACATCGAAAAACTGAGAAACCGAAATACCTAGGTCAAAATCGAAAAGTTAAAAATTGAACAATTTATAAATTGAGAAATTGACAATCAAAATATCGAAAAATCCAAATCTCGTTAAATCGAGAAATCAAAAAACTTAAAAATTCGAAAAACTGAAAAATTGAGAGATTGGATAATAAGAGCTGCTTAAATTTTAAGTAACGTTGGTGCAAACGGGCATGATGAAAGATCCAAAGAACGAGACATCGAAAAGTGATGAAGTCGAAAAATCGAAAAGTAGAGAAATCGACAAACAAAATGTCAAAAGTTGAAAAATTGGAAAAGCGAAAAAATCAAAAAACGAAAAATGGAAAACTGGAAAAACTGAGAAACCGAAATAGGCCAAAATTAAAAATTGAAAAACTGATAAATCGGAAACCTGAACAATCAAATCTCGATAAATCGGGAATGAAAAATTAACAAATCGAAAAATTGAAAAACAGAGTATCTAAAACCAGGAAGTCGAAAAATAGAAAGATTAAGAAATATTGAAAAATTAAAATATCAAAAGATTGAAAAATCTAAAATTAAAATTCCAAAAATTGAAAATCGAAAAAGTAAAAAGGTAGACACATCGAAAAACCCAGAAGTCAAAAATAGAAAAGCCGAAGAATTGAAATATTGAAAAATCCTAAAACTGAAATATCTAAAAACTGAAAAATCGAAAAATCAAAAAAGTGAAGTCGAAAATAGAAACCTTAAAAAATCGAAAAATTGAAAAATCAAAAACCTGAAAAATCAAAAATTAAAGAATTGAAGAACAAGAAAGTCGAAACACTCGAAGGTCATGAAATGGGAAAATTAAAACATCGATTCATTAAAAAATCGAAAAATTGAGAGTTTATAAAAGTCAAATTTGAAAAATTAAAAAATTGAAAATTTGACAAAATAACAATTGAAAAACAGAAAATCTAAAACCGGGAAGTCGAAAAATTAAAAGATTAAGAAATCGAAACATTTGAAAAATTCGAAAACTTGAAAAATTGAAATACCGAAGAACTGAAATGAAAAATCGAGAAATCGAAAAATCTGAAATTTTAAAAATTAAAAAATCGAAAATTTAAAAATCGAAAAATTGAAAATTCGAAAAAGTAAAAAAATCGAGACATCGAAAACTCCAGAAGCCAAAAATCGAAAAGTTGAAGAATCAAAATATTGAAAAATCCCAGAAAAACTGAAAAATGAAAGAAAAACTAAAAATGGAAAACTAGGGAAATTAAAACATTGAAAAATCGAAAAATTTAAAACAACAATTGAAAACAGAAAATCTAAAACCGGGAAGTCGAAAAATCGAAAGATTAAGCAATCGAAAAAGTAGAAAAACCTACACATCGAAAACTCCAGAAGCCAAAAATCGAAAAGTCTAAGAACCAAAATATTGAAAGATCCCAAAATTGAAATATCGAAAAACTGAAAAATGGTATACCTGAAAAATTCGAAAACTGAAATATCCAAAAACTGAGAACCTTTCGATATTTTTATCGAAAAATTGAAAAATCGAAAAATAAAAAAAGTGAAGTCGAAATATCGAAACGTTAAAAAAATTAAAAAATAAAAAATCAAATACCTGAAAACTCGAAAAATTAAAGAATTGAAGAACGGGAATATCGAAACCCTCGAAAGTCAAAAAATGAGAAAATCAAAACATCGATTAATTGAAAAATCAAAAAATTGAGAGTTTATAAAAGTCAAATTTGAAAAATTAAAAAATCGAAAATTTGACAAAATGGCAATTGAAAAACAGAAAATTTAACACCGGGAAGTCAAAAAATCAAAAGATTAAGAAATCGAAACATTTGAATAATTCGAAAACTTGAAAAATTGAAAAATCGAAGAACTGAAATGAAAAATCGAGAAATCGAAAAATCTAAAATTTTAAAAATTAAAAAATCTATAATTTAAAAATCGAAAAGTCGAAGAATCAAAATATTGAAAAATGGAAAACCTGAAAAATCCGAAAACTGAAATATCCAAAAACTGAGAACCTAAAAAGTCGAAAAATTGAGCAATAGAAAAATCCAAAAGGTGAAGTCGAAAATTTGAAATCTTAAAAATCGAAAAATTGAAAAATCAAAAACTTGAAAAATAAAAAAATTAAAGAATTGAAGAACAGGAAAATCGAAACACTCGAAGGTCAAGAAATGGGAAAATCAAAACATCGATTAATTGAAAAATCGAAAAATTGACAGTTTATAAATGTCAAATTTGAAAAATTGAAAAATCGAAAATTGGAAAAAACGACAATTGAAAAACAGAAAAGCTAAAACCGAAAAGTCGAAAAATCGATTGATTAAGAAATCAAAACATTTTAAAAATTCGAAAACTTGAAAAACTGAAATATCAAAGAGCTGAAACGAAAAATCGAGAAATCGAAAAATCTAAAATTTTAAATATTGAAAAATTAAAATACCAAAAAACTGAGAAATCTAAAATTTAAAAATCGAAAAAGTTAAAACTTGACACATCGAAAGATCCAGAAGTCAAGAACAAACATATTGAAAAATCCCAAAACTGAAACATGGAAAAATTGAAAAATCCAGAAACCGAAAGGTCGAAAAATTGAAAATTTGAAGAATCAAATCAGAAATTGGAAATCAAAAACCAAAAAACTGAAAAATCGAAAAAACGAAAAGTTGAAAATTTTAAGACTAGAAATATTGAAAAATCCCAAAGCTGAAACACCGAAAAATTGAAAAATTCAGAAATTGAAAATCAAAAACCTGAAAAATCGAAACATCAAAAATCAAAAAACTGAAAAATAGACCAATTGAGAAATCCAAAAAACAGATAGTTGAAAAATTGAAGAAATATTGAAAAATCCAAACAGCGGAAGGTCGAAAAATTGAAAATTTAAAGAATCAAATCAAATATTGAAAATCAGAAACCTGAAGAATCGAGAAATCGAAAAAATGGAAAGTAGAAAATTGAAGAATAGAAATATTGAAAAATCCCTACACTGAAATATCGAAAAATTGATAAATCTCAAAACTAAAACGTCGAAAAATTGAAAACTGCTGAAATCGAAAGGTCGAAAAATTGAAAATTTAAAGAATCCAATCTGAAATTGATATTCAAAAACCTGAAACATCGAAACATCAAAACTCAAAAACCTGAAAAATCGAACCATCAAATATCAAAAAACTGAAAAATGGCGAAATCCAGAAATCGAAAAACTGGAAAGTTGAAAAACTGCAGAATACAAATATTGAAAAATCCCTAAACTGAAACATGGAAAAATTGAAAAATCCAGAAACCGGAAGGTCGAAAAATTGACAAATCAAAAATTGAAAACCAGAAACCTGAAAAATCGGGAAATCGAAAAATTAAAAATCAAAAAACTGAAACAATTGAAAACAGAAAATCTAAGACCGGGAAGTCGAAAAATCGAAAGAATAAGCAATCGAAAAATTGAAAAATCGAAAAAGTAAAAAAATGGACACATCGAAAACTTCAGAAGCCAAAAATCGAAAAGTCGAAGAATCAAAATATTGAAAAATCCCAAAACTGAAAAATGAAAGAAAAACTGAAAAATGGAAAACCTGAAATATCCGAAAAGTGAAATATCCAAAAACTGAGAACGTAAAAAGTCGAAAAATTGAGCAATAGAAAAATCCAAAAAGTGAAGCCGAAAAATTGAAAGCTTAAAAAAATTAAAAAATCAAAAATCGAAAACCTGAAAAATCGAAAAATTAAAGAATTGAAGAACAGGAATATCGAAACCCTCGAAAGTCAAGAAATAGGAAAATCAAAACATCGATTAATTGAAAAATCGAAAAATAAAAAAAGTGAAGTCGAAATATCGAAACCTTAAAAAAAATCGAAAAATTTAAAAATAAGTAAACTGAAAAATCCCAAAACTGAAATGTCAAAAAACTGAGAAATTAAAAAATTCAAAAATTGAGAAAAAGTGAAGTTGAAAAATCGAAATCTGAAAAAATAGAAAAGTTGAAAAACCAAAAAACCTGAAAAATCAATTGATTGAAAAATCGAAATATTTAAAAATCGTAAAATTGAAGAGAAAAACTGAAAACCGAGAAGTTGAAAAATTGAGAAATTGTAAAATCCAAAAATTGAAAAATAAATAAGAGTAAACTGAAAAGTCCCCAAACTAAAATTTCGAAAAACTGAGAATTCGAAAGTTGAAACAGCAGAAATGATAGTCGAAACCGGTTAGAATGTGTATCAGATCACGGATCATGGCTTATAAATCAAATCGTTTCCGAACGCTTAGAGTCGACATTGGCCTGACTCCGCTCTGGTCTGTAGATCAAACAAGTTCTCAGACGACGAACTGTAATTCGTGTGACCTGAATTAAAGTGAAGGAAACAGTAAGCAGCTTGTAATATTCTAAGTAAGTTTTTTATTAATAAAAGAAAATAAGTGTCTAAGTACACACTAAAAAATCTAACCCCTCTTAACACTCAATTTAGCCGAACTGCAATGCGACAAAATTTGCCCTTGAATTTCTTCAATTTCCTTGATTATCCGTTCGATATCGTCTGGAATTTCGTCGACAGATTTTGTAATTGTCAGAGATTCGTACTGTTCAAGCACGTTGTTTAATTCCCGCCATAATGGGTCCAACTCCAGTTGGTATTTCTTCTTAAACTTTTCTTCTTTCTTGTCGAGTCGTCTTCTCTCTTTTTGGAAAGCCGTGACTTCCTTATGGAGATGTAGTTTTCGGCGCCAAATTTTTAACAGTTTTTCGAAATCTTTGATTTGTTGTTCTAACAACTGGAGGTCTTTCAGTAATTTATCTAAGTCTTGATAAAATGCAATTTCCTTAAATTAAAAACGAATGAAAATGAGAACACTTTTTTATTTTTTATACTTACAGGTTCCAACTCCTTGACATGTTTTTCAAAGTCTTCGTGTTTTTTAATGAGGGGATTAAGAGTCGATAGAGTTTGTTGAGCGTCGAATTTAGCATTGGAAGCGTTTCGTTTAAGAGAATCCACGTCAATAGACACATTTTCGTAATTAGTTAGTACGTTAATTAACCAAAGTAAGTCCGGTTCTATCCAGTTTGTGCTAGCTTTTGCATTTTGGGGAAAAGTAGTGCCGTTACCTTCAAACTAACACAAGTTGCCAGAATTAACGTATTATTTACTTACCGATTTTATAATGGATTCGAGTAAATCGATATCGCTCTCAATGGAAAGTGCTAAGTTTAAAGATGTGTTGTCAATTTTCGGAAATCGTCGCTCCATATCGTCCAAATTATTCGTAATATTGTTAAATTTGTCGATATTGAGAAGCGCGATGTTATCAGTATCGAAATTTAATTTCTTCAGTCTGTCTTGTATGTTTTTTATCTTATCTTTGATGGTTTTCAACTCTGCCACAACATCCTCCCCAATTTTTTTTAGCGCTTCCTCGACTTTTTTAATGTCTTTCTGTAATTGTTTTATTTGTTCTTGAAGATTGTTCATCCTCCTCTTGACTTGATTGTTCATAATATTTAACAGTTTTAGTTCAGTTTCAAGTTGCTCAATATTTTTGAGTAACGTTTCTAGCGCTTTTTGCAACTCAGTCAGCTGTTTTCGATATTTTTCAATCAAGTTTCGTAAGATAGTTTCAATATCGCCTAAAATAATACAGCGACTAAATTATAAACAAATTTAGTGAGAAGCTTAATTTACCTTTTTTGATTTTGATATTGTTTTCAAAAATATCATAACACTGGCCGCATGTATTACATCGGCTTGTAGACACGTTGCAAAACTGTCCATCAGGACAAACCTTTGCTGAAATAATAATTTACACTTCGTATTAATCATCGTTCGATTCATTATTCACTTTTGTTTGCACTTTTTTTATCAATTTTTTTTTTCAGTAAACTGTCAAAAAATACTTACGTTGTAATTTTTTACTAAAATCTCGTGCATCACATTTTTGCGCTTGGACAGAATTTAAATAAATTAAAAAAATGCCCCACGAAACTACAACTGCCCTTGTGAATACCATGACGACTAATAATTCCCAAACATCTCTTATCACTAAGTAATCACAGATAAGTCATTTGTCCTTTACCTATTTAAAGAGATAATGATTTAGAATGAAAGAATTTTTCTGATTTAACGTGTTTATAGTAACACAAAATTGGAAAAGTTAAACAAAAATAAATTTTTAGTGTGTATAGCGGCCTATAGATAGCGCAACGCGCGCTCCCAATGTTGCCAACTGCAATTTTCGCAACGAGAAAAATTATTCACTTGGAAACCTTCAAAAATTTACCATTTTAGACATGTTTTAAGTTTCTTGTTGTCGAAATAAGTCTACACATATTAAAAAAAAAGGCAAATTGAAGCCCCGCCCACCCACCCGATATCAATTGTGATGATTTTTCTTATTCGTCGTGAGCCAAGAAGGTGGAGCTTAACTGCAAAATCCTTATTTCGTGTTGTTCAAAGAATACTATGTATATTAAGAAAAAAGGCAAAATATAAGCCCCGCCCACCCACCCTATCTCAATTCAGACGATTTTTTTTTAATCGTCGAGAGCCAAAGGGGCGGAATTTAATTGCAATATCAATATTATTTCTCTACAAAAAATTGCCATGTAAGACATGTTTTTGAATATCGTGTTATTCAAAGAATACTACATATACTACGTATATTAAGCAAAAATTAAAGCCAGGGATTACGCCCCACCCATACCTGCCCTGATCGAAATAGTAAATAATAATGAAGTTTTCATTTGCTGGCAGACCTAGAGGTGGAGCCTATTTGCAAAATCCATATTTCCTTAACAAAATTTACCATTTTAAACGTGTTTTAAGTTTCTAAGAATTAAAAAAATCATCACAATCGGGATGGGGTGGGTGGGCGGGGTCTATATTTTGCCCTTTTTTCTTAATGTACATGGTATTCTTTGAACAACACGATACTCAAAAACATGTTTTTAATTTCTCGTAAAGAAATGAGTATTTTGCAGTTTGGCTCCGCCCTCTTGGGTCACGGTGCATAAAAAAAATCATCACAATTGAGGTAGGGCGGGTGGGCGGGTTTAAATTTTGCCTTTTTATTTTAGTATGTGTAGACTTCTTTTCACAACATGAAACTTAAAATATGTTTAAAATGGGAAATTTGTTAACGGAAGTATCGATTTTGTGATTAGGCTCCGCCCCATAATTGCAAAATCCATATTTCCTTGCAAAATGTACCATTTTAACCATGTTTTAAGTTTCTTGTGAAAAGATGGCTATCTACGTTAAGAAATAAAAGGCTAAATATAAGCCCCGCCCACCCGCCCTATCTCAATTCTGATGATTTTTTGTATTCGTCGTAAGCCGAGAGGCGGAGTTTAATTGTAAAATCCTTATTTTTTCCACGAAAAAATAGCATGTGAAATATGTAGAAAAAAGGCAAGATTTATATCTTGCCTTTTTTCTACATATTTAAAATATGTATGTAAAAATTAATAATCACAAATGAAATCAGGTGGGTGGGCGGGGCTTATGCCCCGCCCACCCACCTGATTTAATTTGTGATTATTAATTTTTTTTAATCGTCTAGAGCCAAAGGAGCGGAATTTAATAGTAAAATCCTTATTATTTCTCTACAAGAAATTACTATGTAAGATGTGTTTTTGAGCATCGTGTTATTCAAAGAATACTATGTAAATTAAGAAAAAATTAAAATCAAAGATTAAGCCCCACCCATAGCTGCCCTGATCTAAATAGCAATGAAGTTTTCATTCGTTGGAAGGCCTAGGGGTGGAGCCTAATTGCAAAATCCACATTTCCTTAACAAAATTTACCATTTTAAAAGTGTATCAAGTTTCTAAGATTAAAAAAAATCAGCACAGTTGAGATGGGGTGGGTGGGTGGGGTAAATATTTTGTCCTTTTTTCTTAATATATATAGTATTCTTTGAACACGACACTCAAAAATATGTCCTTAATTTCTTCTAAAGAAAAAAGTATTTTGCAGTTAAACTCCGCCCCCTTGGTTCACGGCGAATAAAAAAAAAATCACAAATGAAATAGGGCGGGCGGGTGGGCGGGCTTTCATTTTGCCTTTTTGTTTTAATATGTGCAGACTTCTTTTCAGAACATGAAACTTAAAACATGTTTAAAATGGAAAATTGGTATAAGGAAATATCGACTTTGCAATTAGGTACCGTCCCATAATTGCAAAATTCATAATTTCTTGCAAAAATGTACCATTTTAACCGTGTTTTAAGTTTCTTGTTGTGAAATGATGGCTATATATGTTAAGGAAAAAAATATACAGTTTCCGGCAAAAAATTTCAAACATCACTTTTCTGTCATGTCAAAAATTTTAATGTAGTCTATGCTTTATTGTCATTATTTCGGACAGCTGGAATGTCAAACTTTCAAAATTCCAGCTTACGCTACAGCTACATACATTCATGTAAGTGTCAAATATAAAAGTTAAAAATGACTCAAATATTTAGGTTAGAAACATCTAAAGGTTGCTTTACACTATCTGACGACTGGATGACATTGACGTCTGAAATTTTTTGGCGGCAACTGTATATAAGCCCCGCCCACCCGCCCTATCTCAATTCTGAGGGGCGGAGCTTAATTGTAAAATCCTTATTTTTTCTACGAGAAATTAGCATGTGAAATATGCTCTTAAGTAATCTTGTTATACAAAGAAAACTAAATGTATGAATTAAAAAAGAAAACCAAAAAACAAGGCCCACCCATCCGTCTCGATCTCAATCGTGATAAATTTTTCATTCGTTGGCAGACCAAGGGGCGGAGCCTTATCGCAAAATCCATATCTCCTTATAAAAATTTACCATTTTAAACGTGTTTTAGGGTTCTAAGAATACAAAAAATCATCACAATTGGGATGGGGTGGGTGGGCGGGGTCTATATTTTGCCTTTTTTTTCTTAATGTACATGGTATTATTTGAACAACACGATACTCAAAAACATGTTTTTAATTGCTTGTAAAGAAATGAGTATTTTGCGTTTTAGCTTCGCCCTCTTGATTCACGGTGAATAAGAAAAAATCATCACAATTGAGGTTGGGCGGGTGGGCGGGCCTACATTTTGTCTTTTCGTTTTAGTATGTGTAGACTTCTTTTCACAACATGAAACTTAAAATATGTTTAAAATGGGAAATTTGTATGCGGAAATATCGAAATTAGGCTCCGCCCCATAATTGCAAAATCTATATTTCCTTGCAAAATGTGCCATTTTAACCATGTTTTAAGTTTCTTGTGAAAGATGGCTATGTATATTAAGAAATAAAAGGCCAAATATAAGCCCCGCCCACCCACCCTATCGTAATTCTGATGATTTTTTGTATTCGTCGTAAGCCGAGAGGCGGAGCTTAATTGTTAAGTCTTTGTTTTTCTACGAGAAATTACTATATGAAATAATATTTATAATTTTACCTTATTTTTGTTTTAATGTGTGTAGACTTCTTTTTACAAGATGAAACTTAAAATATGTTTAAAATGGAAATTTTTTATAAGGAAATATCGATTTTGCAATTAGGGTTCGCCCTATAATTGCAAAATCTATAGCCCCTAGCAAAATCCATGTTTCCCTGCAAAAATGTACCATTTTAACCATGTTTTAAGTTTGTTGTTGTGAAAATATGGCTATGTATATGAAGAAAAAAAAGCAAAATATAAGCCCCATCCACCCACCCACCTTATCTCAATTGTGATGATTTTTTTTATTCATCGTGCGCCGAGGGGCGGAGCTTAATTGTAGAATCTTTATTTTTCTACGAGGAATAACCTTGTGAAATATGTTCTTAAGTAATCGTGTTATACAAAAAAAATAAATGTATTAATTAAAAAAGAAAACCAAAAGAGAAGCCCCACCCATTCATCAATTGTGATGAATTTTTCATTCGTTGTCAAACCGAGGGGCGGAGCCTAATTGCAAATTCGATATTTCCCTATACAAACTTACCATTTTAAACATGTTTTAAATTTCTTCTTGTGAAAAGATGACTACACATATTAAGAAAAAATTGCAAAATGTAAGTCTCGCCCACCCGCCCTATCTCAGCCAGCTTTGCTCAATACTGCAATTTGATTGGTTGAAAACCTAACGTCAACGGCAACGTAACGGCGAAAGTTGATTATTATTAAAAGTTGGTCATCTCGAACCTTGAACGTCACCCCAACGACGTACCAACTTTCAACGGATGGTATAAAGGACGCATACCTTCGCTGCGTATTTATGTTACTACGTCAACGTCGGCGACAAGTTTATAAATCGACCTTTAACTTCGCACTATTAAAAAAAAACTTGAACCTTAAAATGTACATGTATTTCCTAAAGTGACAATAATTTACAAAACAAAAAACATCTATTGGAAAGAGTAGCCCCCAGACTGCTGATTTCTCAACTGTGACGGATCATCCATTGGCGGCAACTGCGGCTGGAACTGCTCGGCCGACAACCTCGTGAACAAAATCCCTACACCTTCGATTAACGCCAGTAACACTCCTCCTATAAACGCACTACCAGCCATGGCAGGTAGTCCATTCCTAGCTGCTAAGATTCCGCCGGTGGCCGCCCCACTGATAATAGAGTTCCACGGGTCTTCCTTCTTTCGAATGTGAATCAAGGCGCAGTCAATGGTCGAGAACATGCCGCCCCAAACGGCAAAATTACCGGCAATTATGGGCGAGCGTTGTTTAATGGCGGCTAAACTTCCAACCATCCGTCTGTTGAAACCAGAGGGGGCATTGCGAAATCCTTTGATGCTTTGGAATACGCCACCCCCGATGAGACCCATCGTGAAAGCGCCCCCACAGTCGTCGACGATTCGCCAGGGGCACGGTTCCCGAGTATATTCCTCCATTTGGACGTGAGACTTAACCTAACCTACAAATTTTTGGATTATTATTTACGGGGGTTACAAAACTAGAATGAAAGCCAATTTGGGGCTAAACTTACCGGTAGCTACTATAATACACAATAAGACGCGACTTTTTCGTGGTTAACGTCGTTTTCGAGAGGAAATTATTGATATTTTGTCAAGGTTGTGCATTCCTTCTGATCAGAGGTCGAAAGATCGTGCAGCATGTCACAGTTTTACGAAAAACATGCTTTGTGCATGATGGGGGCCGAAAGAAAGGGGGAGTTGGGTTGAAGGCACGTTTTGTAATTTAGCGATGTGAATGTGCCCGAATTTTCGCGAATTGACTACTTCAAATTTTGAGGTTATGTTTGGCGGTAATTTTAAATTTTAAAAATAACCATGCATTTTCTCTAAAAATAAAACAACTTTCCGAGTCACCTACGGGCTATTAATAAGTCTTTTCGTTTAGTTTTTCCACGTTCTACAACGCACTTTAAGTTGTCCAAAAATGTCGGTGAACGCGGAAAATCAAACAACCCCGGAAGTTGTAAATAAGGTAAAATTTGTCTTACGATTTGATACAAAATTGCATTTAAAATCAACAGCCGGCCGAAAACGAACAAAATGAGGCCACAGCGGTTGTAGAAAATGTAACTGACGAAAACCGCTCGAAAAACGAGGACCCAAAAACCGCCCAGTTGGAAAACGAAATCAAAGTAAGTGAAACACTGGGTTAAAAATTTTCCCCGGTGTGACTAGGACTAACCATAACCTCAACGTTGTTTCAGCAAAAAGACGCCATTTTGTTAACGCTTAAAACCCGCGTTGCTCAGCTCGAAAAAGACGTAGCCGAGGGACAAAAATTCAAAGCTCAACACTTGAAAGAGGCAGAGGAAGTGGCGCTTTTGAAAGCCAAGTCCGAAGACACTCTAACCAGAGCCAAAGATATTATTTTTGAAAAAACCAAAGTCATAAAGAATCAGGAGCTGCAAATCGAGGCTTTGAACCAACAAATTGACTCTTTGAAAGAAGTCGTTTCCATAACGAAGGACCTTTTGGAGATTAGAAATATGGAAATAAAGCAGCTTGAGACTAAAATTGAGTGCATGGACGGGAAGTATAAAGCCGAGAAGGAACGATACGACCTTATGCACAAAAAATTAGAGACTATGATACGGTTTAATGGCGACTTGAAAAGGGAATATGAAACACAACTTTGCTTGTTTTCGGCTCTTCGTGAAAGGTATAACGAACGGGAACTGGCGAGGGGGGTTCTTGACGACGCCAACAGGGCCCAGGGGGCGGCTAGGGCTAATGCCGGTGCTGTTGCTAACGCTGCTCCTGGTGCTAATGCCGATCCTGGTGCTAATGCTGCTCCTGGTGCTAATGCTGCTCCTAGTGCTAATGATGGTGCTAGTGCTAATGATGGTGCTGGTGCTAGTACTAGTGCTAATGGTGCAGCTCCAAGTAGTCAAGTCAACGGCGAAGTACCCAGTGACGAAAAAAACTAACTTGACGAAAACATGTGATAAAAATATAACTTGTTTATTAACATATTGCTATGGAATATACAATGTAGAGAACTTAGAAAAAATGTAGATAATGTACACTATCAACATTTTATACACTGTGTGAACCAACAAAAATACGTCACAAATCATTAAACGCATAACCTAACTAGTCATTTTAGTTCTAGTATTAAAAAAATTTAAGTATACAGACGTAGGAATTTCCGAACAAGATCCGAGGAATTTCAACTATTAAAAAGTTATTTTGCTCGTAATGGGGTTTATTAATATGTAAGCTAACTGATTGTTTAATATAAAGGTACTTCCTTAAAATTTCAGCCCGAAAATTTTTAAAACCATCCTTACGCTAGATCTAGGATGCAATTTGGTCAACACGACATCGCTTCAAACTGGAACCACACAGAAAAAAATCCCCTTCAAGTCTATTGTGCAAGGAGTATCTCTAATGGCAGTGATCATAATGCTGGTCTGGAGGATATGTTTGGCAAAATGTCACACGTGCACTTCCATTTTGTTGCCTTTGCGTACGACCCGGATCTGCCCCGGCTGCACCTCCGGCAACCCCATACACTTGAACGTGAAGGTGACCGTCTGGGAGCCGAAGTTCGCCTCGAACCTGCCACTGAACAATCAGACACCGGAATTCCGACTCAAACTAACCTACTCTGTCGTGACGTTGACTTCCGGCGGCTTCCCGGTGGCGTTTTGGACCACCAGGAACAGCTTGGTGACGATCTCGATGACGTGGCCGGTTTGGAACACGAAGTCGCCCTTTTTCTTGCTTAAGTCGCTCTGAAATAAGCAACCGGTCGCATCGGAATTTGAACTGGAGGTTTCTGCGTTGGCTACCGACGACTGGGAACAAAACTACCGCTAACGAGCAGGTTCTAGACTAGACTTAAGTAAGGGTGTTAAGCGAGTCGACTTACCGCTCTGACGTGAACAACCGCGACGTCGTCCAGAAACGGTGACAGAGACATGCGATAGATCTCTGTAGCAGGCACTCGATATTTTATTTGTAAAGTACGTTGATCGAGAATCAACATGGACCGTGTTGATACAACCAGAAGAATGGGTGCGAACTGAAACGCTAAAATGACTTAAGTGGTACACAGGGGTGGGGACGAACCTTGCCACTCGAACGAGTTATCTTATTAATAATATCAGCAAAAACTACGTATTGGTCGTTACTTTCTAGGCAAATTTTTTTCCATTGGATGTTTTGGCGCAGCCGAACGTAATCCCCGAGGAAAGGGTGAGAAACACTTCTGGGATATGAACATTTTCTCTCTTTGAAAATAAAACTAGCTGTTACTTTTTCCCTCATGCGATTTCGCGCGGTTTGGTCGAACTTGAGTCGGTACTTATGGCAGCGCCATCTGTGGTGGATCTTTTTCAGCAAAGTGTTGCATTCGGATAACCTGGAAGAACATGATGGCCATTCTCGACAAATTGGGGAGTCGGCGTCCGCTGGTAACAATTTCCACAGGACAAGGAGATATCGTTTTCGCTGGAAAATTAAGCTAATTTCAAGTGGTTCACCTCTGGAAAATTACCTTCCACTGTATGTAGTGTCTTTGGATTACTCTCGTAGCCCACTCGACTTGTTTTCGGTGTTTTAAGGTTCTGTATTCCTCTTGAGCCTAAAATAACCAAGAATTAATAAAATAGTGGCGTAATTAAAACGCGATAGTCGTTGTCAGTCAAGTTTCTGGAATGAGTTTTACTGCAAATACACAAAAGAGGTCGTTACTGATTTACAAATACATGGCCAACTAAGACCTGGCGTCTTGTGCGCTCCCTTCGGCCGTAACAACCGGAGTATTTGATTGATTCTGCCAAGGCCCACTCTATTAATTTCTTTAGAGTGCCCCGCCCACCCACCCTGTTTTTATCTCGATCACGCACTTTATTGGACGAAAAATGAATTTTATTTGATAAATAGTCGAATCTAGGCAAAAAGGTAAAACTAACCCCACCCATTTCCACTTTTGGATTTCATTGGCTTATTTTCTTTACTGTGAGTTGAAGATTGAATTTTATTTTATCAAATGGTAGAATCTACGCTAAAAAAACTTCAATGTGGCCCCGCCCACCCACCCAGTTTTCTTCTTAATCTCTCATTTTATTGGATGAAATGTGAATTTTATATTGACAAATAGAATCTAAACAGGTAAAACTAGCCCCACCCACCTCCATTTTTAAATTTAACTGGCTTATTTTATTTACTGTGAGATCAAGATTGAATTCTATTTTATCAAAAGGTAGAATCTAAGGTAAATAACCTTCAAAATGGCCCCGCCCACCCACCCGGTTTTTTTTTGATCACTCATTTTACTGAACGAAAAGTAGCTTTTATATTGATAAATAGATGAATCTAAACAGAAAAGGTGAAATTAACTTCACCCACCTCCATTCTTGAATTTCATTGGCTTATTTTATTTACTATGAGATGAAAATGTCATTTTATTGGACGAAAAATGGATTTCATGATGATAAAAGGTGGAATATACACAGAAAAGATGAAACTAACTCCACCCACCTTACTTTTGAATTTCATTGGCTTATTTTATTTGCTGTGAGATGAAAATTGAATTATATTTTGTCAGGTGGTCGAATCAACGCTAAAAAAATTCAATGTGGCCCCGCCCACCCACCCCGTTTTCTTTTTGATCATTCATTTTATTGGACGAAAAGTGGGTTTTATATTGACCGATAGTGGATTCTAAACAAAAAAGGTAAAACTAACCCCACTGATCTCCACTTTTGAATTTCATTGGCTTATTTTATTAACTGTGAGAGAAGATTGAATTTTGTTTTATCAAATGGTAGAATCTATGCTAAAAAAACCTTCAAAGCGGCCCCGCCCACCCACCCGTTTTCTTTTTGATCACTCATTTTACTGAACGAAACGTAGGTTTTATATTGATAAATAGATGAATCTAAACAGAAAAGGTGAAACTAACTCCACCCACCTCCATTTTTGAATTTCATTGGCTTATTTTATTTACTATGAGATGAAAATGTCATTTTATTGGACGAAAAGTGGATTTCATGACGATAAAAAGTGGAAAAGATGAAACTAACTCCACTCACCTCCACTTTTGAATTTCATTGGCTTATTTTATTAATTGGAAGATGAAAATTGAATTATATTTTGTCAAGTGGTCGAATCAACGCTAAAAAAATTCAATGTGGCCCCGCCCACCACCCCGTTTTCTTTTGGATTATCCATTTTATTGGACGAAAAGTGGATTTTATATTGACCGATAGTGGATTCTAAACAAAAAAGGTAAAATTAACCCCACCCATCTCCACTTTTGGATTTCATTGGCTTATTTTATTTACTGTGAGATGAAGATTAAATTTTATTTTATCAAATGGTAGAATCTACGCTAAAAAAACCTTCCAAGTGGCCCCGCCCACCCACCCGTTTTCTTTTTGATCACTCATTTTACTGAACGAAACGTAGGTTTTATATTGATAAATAGATGAATCTAAACAGAAAAGGTGAAACTAACTCCACCCACCTCCATTTTTGAATTTCATTGGCTTATTTTATTTACTATGAGATGAAAATGTCATTTTATTGAACGAAAAGTGGATTTCATGACGATAAAACGTGAAATATACACAGAAAAAATGAAACTTAACTCCACCCACCTCCACTTTTGAATTTTATTGGCTTATTTTATTGACTGCCAGATGAAAATTGAATTATATTTTGTCAAGTGGTCGAACCAACGCTAAAAAAATTCAATGTGGCCCCGCCCACCCACCCCGTTTTCATTGTCTACGAATCTCAAGTCATTTTTATCCACTAATTAAATAACCAACAAAAATGGGAAAATAATTCCAAAATTTTTCCAAAAAAGTGTGCAAATAAGGAATTGAAAGTGATTTTTCGTATAGGTCTTGTAATGATGGAGAAAAAGAGTAAAATGATTTCCAAAAATTTTCCAAAAGTGATCTCTGTCGGAATGGAAAAAAAATCTAGTTAGTAATTTTCGTTATAGCTCTTCAAACACTGGAAACACTGGAACACATATATTCCAAAAATTTCCCAAAAAAATATTAAATCAAGCTACAGTCGAATAATAGGAAACATTTTCTTATAGGAAATTCTTTGTAAATTACGAAACTGGCGTTATTTTTTATCAGTAAATCAGAGGAAATTGTGGGTATTATTTTCAATAATTTTCCAAAAAAAAAATATGAACAAGTGTCTACCACAGAGAAATCACCGACAAGTTTGTAGAGAATTATGACGCACTTGTTGGGAATCTGAAGTGATTTTTCGTATAGATCTTAAAATGACGGGGAAAAAAATAAAACAATTTCCAAACATTTTCCAAAAAAATTTTAGAATGATCTCTGTCGGAATGAAAAAAATCTAGTATTACGGACAATTTTCCGTTCATTACGAATTTGCAGCAATTTTTGTTATAGCTCTTCAAACATCGGGAAAACTGGAAAACATATATTCCGAAAATTTTCCAAAAAAATATTAAATCAAGCTACAGTCGAATAGAAGGAAACATTTTCTTATAGGGAATTCTTTGTAAATTACGAATCTGAAGTTATTTTTATTCATTAAATAATAGAGGAAAATGGAGATATTATTTTCAAAAATTTTCCAAAAAAAAAAAATTAAAGGTGTCTACCACAGAGAAATCATCGACAAGTTTGTAGAGAATTATGACGCACTTGTTGGGAATCTGAAGTGATTTTTCGTATAGATCTTGAAATGATGGGGAAAAAGAGTAAAATAATTTCCAAAAATTTTCCAAAAAAATTTTAGAATGATCTCTGTCGGAATGAAAAAAATCTAGTTTACGGACACTTTTCCGTTGATTACGAATTTGAAGTAATTTTCGTTATAGCTCTTCAAACATCCGTACAACTGAAAAACATATATTCCAAAAATTTTCCAAAAAATTTAAATCAGGCTACAGTCAAATAGAAGGAAACATTTTCTTATAGGAAATTCTTTGTAAATTACGAATCTGAAGTTATCTTTATCCATTAAATAACAGAGGAAAATGGAGATATTATTTTCAAAAATTTTCCAAAAAAAATGAAAAAATGTCTATCACAGAGAAATCACCGACAAGTTTGTAGCGAATTATGACGCACTGGTCAAGAATCTGAAGTGATTTTTCGTATAGATCTTGAAATGATGGGGAAAAAGAGTAAAATAATTTCCAAAAATTTTCCAAAAAAATTTTAGAATGATCTCTGTCGGAATGAAAAAAATCTAGTTTACGGACAATTTTCCGTTGATTGCGAATTTGAAGCAATTTTTGTTATAGCTCTTCAAACATCGGGAAAACTGGAAAACATATATTTCGAAAATTTTCCAAAAAAGTTTTAAATCAAGCTACAGTCGAATAGAAGGAAACATTTTCTTATAGGGAATTCTTTGTAAATTACAAATCTGAAGTTATTTTTATTCATTAAATAACAGAGGAAAATGGAGATATTATTTTCAAAAATTTTCCAACAAAAAAAATGAAAAAATGTCTACCACAGAGAAATCACCGACAAATTTGTAGCGAATTATGACGCACTGGTTAAGAATCTGAAGTGATTTTTCGTATAGATCTTGAAATGATGGGGAAAAAGAGTAAAATAATTTCCAAAAATTTTCCAAAAAAATTTTACAATGATCTCTATCGGAATGAAAAAAATCTAGTATTACGGACAATTTTCCGTTGATTACGAATTTGCAGCAATTTTTGTTATAGCTATTCAAACATCGGGAAAACTGGAAAACATATTTTCCGAAAATTTTCCAAAAAAATATCAAATCAAGCTACAGTCGAATAGAAGGAAACATTTTCTTATAGGGAATTCTTTGTAAATTACGAATCTGGCGTTATTTTTTATCAGTAAATACCAGAGGAAACTGCGGGTATTATTTTCAAAAATTTTCCAAAAAAAACATGGACAAGTGTCTACCCCAGAGAAATCACCGACAAGTTTGTAATGAATTATTACGTACTGGTTAGGAATCTGAAGTGATTTTTTCGTATAGATCTTGAAATGATGGGGAAAACGGGTAAAATGATTCCAAAAATTTTCCAAAAAAATTTTAGAATGACCTCTGTCGGAATGAAAAAAAAAAAATCTAGTTTACTGACAATTTTCCGTCGATTACGAATTTGAAGTAATTTTCGTTATAGCTGTTCAAACATCGGGAAAATTAGAAAACATATATTCCAAAAATTTTCCAAAAAAATATTAAATCAAGCAATGTCGAATAGAAGAAAATATTTTCTTATAGGGAGTTCTTTGTAAATTACGAATCTGAAGTTATTTTTATCCATTAAATAACAGAGGAAAATGGGGATATTATTTTCAAAAATTTTCCAAAAAAAAAAATTAGAATGATCTCTGTCGGGATGAAAAAAAAACTAGTTTACTAACAATTTTCCGTTGATTACGAATTTGAACTAATTTTTGTTATAGCTCTTCAAACATCAAGAAAACTGGAAAACATATATTCCAAAAAATTTCCAAAAAAATATTAATTCAAGCTACAGTCGAATAGAAGGAAACATTTTCTTATAGGGAATTCTTTGTAAATTACGAATCTGAAGTTATTTTTATCCATTAAATAACCGAGGAAAGTCCAAAAAAATATTAAATCGAAATATATATGTTCGAATGAAAGACGCATTTGCGTATAGCGAATTCCTTGTAAATTACGAATCTGAAGTTATTTTTCTTCATTAAGTAACAGAGGAAAATGGGAAAATTACTTCCAAAATTTTCAAAAAAAAAAAGTTAAAAGTGTGTCCACCACAGAGAAAACACCGACAAGCTTGAAGAGAATTATCCATTGGTTACGAATCTGAAGTCATTTTTCGTATAAGTTTCGAAACGATGGAGAAAAACTACCAACTAACTTCCAAAAATTTTTCAAAAAAATTTTAGAATGACCTCCGCCAGAATGAAAAAAATTCTTATTTATAGAGAATTTCCGTTTATTACGAATTTGAAGTCATTTTTGTTATAGCTCTTAAAACAAATCGGGAAAGCTAGAAAACATTTCAAAAATTTTCCAAAAAATATTAAACCGAAATGTTCCAATGAAAGGACGCATTTGCGTATGCGAAATGCGAATTCATTGTATATTACGAATCTGAAGTTATTTTTATTCATCAAATAACAGAGCAAAATGGGAAAATTACTTCCAAAAATTTTCCAAAAAAAAGTTAAAAGTGTGTCTACCGCAGAGAAAACACCGACAACCTTGTAGAGAATTATCCATTGGTTACGAATCTGAAGTCATTTTTCGTATAGGTTTTGAAACGATGGAGAAAAACTATCAACTAATGTCCAAAAATTTTTCAAAAAAATTTTAGAATGAGCTCCGCTAGAATGAAAAAAATCCTTATTTATAGAGAAATTTCCGTTTATTATCAATTTGAAGTCATTTATGTTATAGCTCTTAAAACAAATCGGGAAAGTTGGAAAACACTTCAAAAATTTTCCAAAAAATATTAAATCGAAATGTGAAAGGACGCATTAGCGTATGCGAAATGCGAATTCATTGAAAATATTCGAATCTGAAGTTACTTTTATTCATTAAATAACAGAGAAAAATGGGAAAATTACTTCAAAAAATTTTCCAAAAAAAAAAAAGGTAAAAGTGTGTCCACCACAGAGAAAAAACCGACAAGCTTGAAGAGAATTATCCATTGGTTACGAATCTGAAGTAATTTTTCGTATAGGTTTTGAAACGATGGAGAAAAACTATAAACTAATTTCCAAAAATTTTTCAAAAAAATTTTAGAATGAGCTCCGCTAGAATGAAAAAAATCCTTATTTATAGAGAAATTTCCGTTTATTATGAATTTGAAGTCACTTTTGTTATAGCTCTTAAAACAAATCGGGAAAGCTAGAAAACATTTCAAAAGTTTTCCAAAAAATATTAAATCGAAATGTTCCAGTGAAAGGACGCATTTGCGTATGCGAAATGCGAATTCATTGTAAATTACGAATCTGAAGTTATTTTTATTCATCAAATAACAGAGAAAAATGGGAAAATTACTTCCAAAAATTTTCCAAAAAAAAAAGTTAAAAGTGTGTCCACCACAGAGAAAACACCGACAAGCTTGAAGAGAATTATCCATTGGTTTCGAATCTGAAGTCATTTTTCGTATAGGTTTTGAAACGATGGAGAAAAACTATAAATTAATTTCCAAAAATTTTTCAAAAGAATTTTAGAATGAGCTCCGCTGGAATGTAAAAAATTCTTATTTATAGAGAAATTTCCGTTTATTATGAATTTGAAGTCATTTTTGTTATAGCTCTTAAAACAAATCGGGAAAGCTAGAAAACATTTCAAAAATTTTCCAAAAAATATTAAATCGAAATGTGAAAGGACGCATTTGCGTATGCGAAATGCGAATTCATTGTAAATTACGAATCTGAAGTTATTTTTATTCATCAAATAACAGAGGAAAATGGGAAAATTACTTCCAAAAATTTTCCAAAAAAAAAAAGTTAAACGTGTGTCCACCACAGAGAAAACACCGACAAGCTTCATGAGAATTATCCATTGGTTACGAATCTGAAGTGATTTTTCATACAGATTTTGAAACAATGGAGAACTAATTTCCAAAAATTTTCCAAAAAAATTTTAGAATGATCTCTTTTGGAATGAAAAAAAAACTATCTAAAGTTATTCCAAAGTAAAAAAATGTTGATTGCTGTAGTAGCCAGATCTTAGAAAACCATGCCAAATAACACAATTAAGCGCCACCTAGCGTACAGGGATATGTAAAACATACCACACGATATAAACGCCAGAGATGTGTGCGGCCTTTAAAAGGAATACCATATTTTAATTCCTGCAATTATACAAAGGAAAATCGAACTTAGATTTACCAGTTTGCTTGCTAAAAAATTGAAACTTTACTTTAGCTCCCGGGCGTTTTCCACGAAAATTCTTTTAGACACCCCGTAAAGTGACCCCCTGGTCTCAAAAATGCTGTTGAATTTTTGTGCAAATGACCCATTACTCACCCTCCAACTCCTCCACGCCGACGCGATGACCAGCTGACACCTCCTCAGCTTCTGGAACCTCCTCCTCTGCCTGAACCCCCTCCAACTCTTCTGTATGAGCAGCGCCAGGTCGTGCAGTCGCACCCTCCTGAAGTCCTCCAACTCGAAAACCGTCCGCGGACTCCTCACGAACAGCTTATTTCTACCGAACGTAAATTCCGCGCTAGGTATTGGCAGTGATCGTAGCAGCACTGAAACACCCTCTATCGGCGATCCTCGCCATCTAGGCCACGTGTTGACGCAAATCATCTTATAACGACAAAGAAACTGCGGATATGCTAATCGATAACAGTAGCCGGAACGCCAGATTTGGACAGTGGGGATCAGGCTCAAGTAGCGCACCTGATGTTGTATTAAGGCCATCTCTAAGATTCGGGGTTGCTTCATTTCGTTGGGTTTAAGACACCTGATGTAGTGGATTTGGCGGGAGTTCAAGCTTTTGAGGAGCGAGCTGAGGGAGACTTGGAGTTGCACGGATTTGGAGACGGGGCGCTTGAAGCTGCAGCGTTTGGGGTTGCCTTCGGGGAAGAGGGGCTTCATTAGGGGGTGGTCGAAGCGGAACATGGCGCGAGAGACTTCCTTGGGGAGAGAATCGCGGTTTTTCTCGAGGAAGTCGTGCACGTTGTAGGTGACGGTGCCCGCGTAATGGCGTACTCTAAAAACTCAAATTAGTGGGTTTATTTAACTAGGAGTTAAAATCTACTGGAAACTATATTGTGGCAGTGTTGCGTCCGCTGCGAGACAGTAAGAATGACCAGCGCAGCACTGTTCCACTCGCATAAGATAGGCAGAATCACTCTGAACATGAGGTTCTTCGAGGAGTGTTAGGATTCCGTGACTCTCATGTTCCAACAATTGACATATAACTCTGGAAAGACTGTGTGATTATTTTTTACGCTGGTTTGGGGACTTACATATTATTAAAATACTCTATTTTCGACCACTCTAAGCCTTCTCGTATCACCTCTTCTTGTTCTTCTTTGAGTGTGATGTTAGCAATGAATTGGTGTAATTTTTCGTTACAGTAGTTGATGATTAGTTGCTCGAATGAATTTTTTTCGAATACCTCGAAGCCGTACAAATCCAAAACTCCCAAAACTTTGCGCTTCCCCAATCTCTGGCCCTAAAACAATATTTTTTGTTTTAGTTATTTTTCAATTTTTCGTTTTTGAAGGTATCCGATTTTTCAATTTTTCGTTTTTGAAGGTATCCGATTTTTCAATTTTTTATTTTCAATTATTCGAATTTCATTGTTTTGATGTTCTAATTTTTTGATTTCCAACTTTCCAAGTTTTTTATGTTTCAATTTCATAATTTTACAATGTTTTGATTTTCCAATTTTACAATTGTCTGGTTTCAATTGCCCGATTTTAAAATTATAGGAGTACAATTTTTCAGTTTTTTTGGTTTTGTAATATTTTGATTTTTATGTTCTATATTTTTATTTTTTCCTGTTTATATACGTATTTCCTTCGAAATTTCATTTTGCAATTGTTCTGTTATTCAATTTAATAATTTTGCAATTTTTCAATTATCCAGTTTTTAGTGAACCAATTTCGTTTTGTCAATTATTCAATTTTTGATCTCCCAATTATCCGAATTTCATTTTTCGGTTTCCCAATTACTTGATTTTTAATTTTTCAAAATATCAATTTTCAATTTTTCAAACTTCGTAATTTTTCTATTTTACAACTACATTGCAACTTTTTGATTTTAAAATTATTCTATTTTCAATTTTAAGTTTTATGTAATTTTTGAGTTTTACAATTTAATAATTTTTCGATTTTACAATAATTACATAATTTTTCAGTTTTGTGATTTTGTAATATTTTCAGTTTTTAGTTCTATATTTTCATAATTCTTCGATTTCCCAATTATCCAGTTTTTAATGAATCAATTATAGGACTTCCAATTTCTCCATTTTTCAATTTTGGGATCTTTCGATTTTTCATTTTCCAATTATTTGGTCATTCAATTTAATAATTTTGCAATTTTTTGATTTTCCAATTATTTGATTTTTAATTTTTCAAAATTTCAATTTTCAATTTTGTAATTTTCCTATTTTACAATTATATTTCAACTTTTCAATTTTAAAATTATTCTACTTTCAATTTTACATTTATGCAATTTTTCAGTTTTGTGATTTTGTAAAATTTTGATTTTTTATTTCTATATTTTTAGAATTTTTCGATTTACCAATGGCTCCGTTTTTAATGAATCAATTATAAGACTTTCCAACTTTTTGACTTTGGAATCCTTCGATTTTTCATTTTCCAGTTCTTCGGTTATTTAATAATTAAATTATACAATTTTTCGATTTTGTACTTTCGCAATTTTTTTAATTTTTCCAGTTTAATAATTTCACAATTTTTCTATTTTTCAATTATCCAAATTTTTAATGATTTTTCAATTTTCTTAATTTTTTTATTTTTTGTTTCAAATATTCAATTTTTGATATCTCAATTATCGGTACTACATTTTTCGATTTTCCAATTATATTTCAAATTTTTAAAATTATTCTACTTTTAATTTTATATTTATGCAATTTTTCACTTTTGTCGTTTTGCAATATTTTAATTTTTTAGTTATATATTTTTATAATTTTTCAATTTCCCAATTGTCCAGTTTTTAATGAATCAATAAAAAGACTTTCCAATTTCTCGATTTTTCAAATTTCCGGTTTTGGAATCTTCAGATTTTTCTTTCTCCAAATGTTCGGTTTATCAATTTAATAATTTTGCAAATTTTAATTTTGTAATTTTGCATTTCTCAATTCCAATTATTTGATTTTTCATTTTTCAAAATTTCAATTTTGTAATTTTTGCGTTTTAGAATTATATTTCAAATTTTTTAAATTATTCCATTTTCAATTTTATATTTATGCAATTTTCAGTTTTCCAATTTAATAATTAACAATTTTTCAGTTTTGTGATTTTGTAATATTTTTATGTTCTTTGTTTTTTATTTTTTCCTTTTCACATTCAATTTAATAATTTTACAATTTTTCAATTTTGTAATTTTGAATTTTTTGATTTTTTTCATATTTGTAATTTTACTATTTTTCGATTTCTCAATTATCCGGTTTTTAATGAATCAACTTTTGAATTTTCTTCGTTTTTAAAATTTTTGTTTTTCAATTATTTAATTTTTAATTTTTCAACTTTTCGATTTCAATTATTTTATTTTCAATTTTATATTTATGCAACTTTTCAGTTTTCCAATTTAACAATTTTTCGATTTTACGATAATTATACAATTTTTCAGTTTCGTGATTTTGTAATATTTTAATTTTTTAGTACTTTATTTTTACAATTTTTCGATTTTTCATTTATCCGGTTTTTAATGAACCAATTTTTCAATTTTCTTCGTTTTTAAAATGTTTCGTTTTTTCTCTCAATTATCCGAATTTCCTTTTTCGATTTTCCAATTATTTGATTTTTAATTTTTGAAAATTTCAATTTTCAATTTTGTATTTTTTCTGTTTTAGAACTATATTTCAAATTTTTTAAATTATTCCATTTACAATTTTATATTTATGAAATTTTTCAGCTTTCCAATTTAATAATTTTTCGATTTTACAATAATTAAACAATTTTTCAGTTTTGTGTTTTTGTAATATTTTCATTATATTTTTCGATTTTTCATTTTTTCGGTTTTGGAATTCTTGGATTTTTCAATTTTATAATTTTACAATTTTTCGATTTTCCGATTATTTGATTTTTAATTTTTCAACATTTTATTTTTCAATTTTGTAATTTTTCTGGTTTACAATTATATTTCAACTTTTCGATTTTAAAATTATTCTATTTTAAATTTTATATTTATGCAATTTTTCAGTTTTGCGATTTTGTAATATTTTGATTTTTAAGTTCCACATTTTTACAATTTTTCGATTTCCCAATTGTCCAATTTTTAATGAATCAATTATTATAAGACTTTCCAATTTCTCAATGTCTTCAATTTTTTGGTTTTAGAATCCTTCGATTTTTCACTTTCTAATTGTTCGGTTATTCAATTTAATAATTTTACAATTTTTCTATTTTGTAATTTGGCAATTTTTTGATTTTTCAATTATCCATTTTTTTTAACCAACTTTTCAATTTCCTTCATTTTTTAAATTTTTCGTTTCTTTCAATTATTCAATTTTTGTTATCTCAATTATCCGAATTTCATTTTTCGATTTTCCAATTATTTGATTTTTAGTTTTTCAAATTTACAATAATTATTCAATTTTTCAGTTTTGTGATTTTGTAAAATTTTGGTTTTTTAGTTCTATATTTTTAGAATTTTTCGATTTCCCAATTGTCCAATTTTTAATAAATCAATTATAACACTTTCCAATTTTTCGATTTTTCAATTTTTTAGTTTTGGAATTCTTCGATTTTTCATTTTCCAGTTCTTCGTTATTAAATTTAATATTTTTTCAATTTTGTAATTTCGGAATTTTTTTATTTTTTCCAGTTTAATAATTTTACAATTTTTTGATTTTTCAATTATCCATTTTTTTTAACCAACTTTTCAATTTCCTTCATTTTTTAAATTTTTCGTTTCTTTCAATTATTCAATTTTTGTTATCTCAATTATCCGAATTTCATTTTTCGATTTTCCAATTATTTGATTTTTAATTTTTCAAATTTACAATAATTATTCAATTTTTCAGTTTTGTTATTTTGTAAAATTTTGGTTTTTTAGTTCTATATTTTTAGAAATTTTTCGATTTCCCAATTGTCCAATTTTTAATTATTCAATTATAAGACTTTCCAATTACTCGATTTTTCAATTTTTTGGTTTTGGAATCCTTCGATTTTTCATTTTCCAGTTCTTCGTTATTAAATTTAATAATTTTACAATTTTTCAATTTTGTAATTTCGCAATTTTTTTATTTTTTCCAGTTTAATAATTTTACAATTTTTCGATTTTTCAATTATCCAATTTTTTTAACCAACTTCAATTTTCTCCATTTTTTAAATTTTTCATTTCTTTCAATTATTCTGTTTTTAATTTGTCAATTTTACAATTATATTTCAAATTTTTAAAATTATTCTATCTATAATTTTATATTTATGTAATTTTTCAGTTTTGTGATTTTGTAAAATTTTGATTTTTTAGTTCTATATTTTTGGAATTTTTCGATTTCCCAATTGTCCAATTTTTAATGAATCAATTATAAGACTTTCCAATTTCCAGATTTTTCAATTTGGTTTTGGAATCCTTCTATTTTTCATTTTCCAGTTCTTCGTTATTAAATTTAATAATTTTACCATTTCTCCATTTTGTAATTTCGCAATTTTTTTATTTTTTCAAGTTCAATAATTTTACAATTTTCCGACTTTTCAGTTATCCAATTTTTTTAACCAACTTTTCAATTTTCTCTATTTTTAAAATTTTTCATTTCTTTCAATTTTTCGGTTTTTAATTTGTCAATTTTACAATTATATTTCAAATTTTTAAAATTATTCTATCTATAATTTTATATTTATGCAATTTTTCAGTTTTGTGATTTTGTAAAATTTTGATTTTTTAGTTCCATATTTTTGGAATTTTTCGATTTCCATTGTCCAATTTTTAATGAATCTATTATAAAACTTTCCAATTTCCCGATTTTTCAATTTTTTGGTTTTGGAATCCTTCGATTTTTCATTTTCCAGTTCTTCGTTATTAAATTTAATAATTTTACATTTTTTCAATTTTGTAATTTCGCAATTTTTTATTTTTTCCAGTTTAATAATTTTACAATTTTTCGATTTTTCAATTTTCTTGGTTTAAAAATTTTTTTTTAATTATTTGATTTTTAATTTTTCAAAATTGCAAATTTCAATGTTGTAATTTGTTCTATTTGTTTTTAAATTATTCTATTTTCAATTTTATATTTATGCAATTTTTTAATTTTTTATTTTTTTATTTTTTCAGTTTTATATTTTTACATTTTTTCTAATTTTCAATTATCAGATTTTCCAATTTTTCAATTTTTCATTTTTCAGGTCAATATTTAAATTGAAGAATTTTGTTGTTCTCAAAATTTTTAGATTTTTCGAGTTCACACCAACACAAAAAATTATAGAGTGCCAAAATACATTTATAGGTTGTCATTTAGTTTCTTACACTGTTACTGGTACTTTCTACAATTCTTTCGCTGTATAGAAATAATCATAAATAAAAATTCGCATCATCGAATTTTATAATTTTTCAAGTAAGTGGATTTTTTTTAAATTCAAAATAGCTACAGTCACTTATGCTTTCGTCAAATTGATGACGTCATTTGACATTTTTCGCTCAAACATCATAACCAATGCGCGGAAAAGTATCTCAGCAGTGCAATTCCCCAGTTGAAGTAAGGTGTGTTTTACAGCGAGTAGTGGGGACGCTTTGATCTGGTCCACAAGGACGTTGCCAGTGCATTTCGTTAGGAGTGTTTACGATCGCTAAACTTACTTCAAATAATAATACGCGATCCCCTTTTTAATTTTTACACCACAGGACCGCATGTTTGTTATATTGAAATGTTATATCATACAAAATGGCAAATTCATTTGTAACAAAATGGTTAAGATTGATTAAATAAGAAACCAGATTGCCGTGTATTGTTATAGCAACAAAATGAATTGAGGAATCTTTAATATATATAACTGCTAATGTTAGAATAAACGTCAGTAATAAAATTTATTATTGAATGCATTTGTTTGTTGGCAAGTTTCAAAAATGCGGTCACATAATTTAACTGATAAGTTTAAGGTTTTAATTGATTCAGTGTGCGTCCGTTGGTAACAAATGTGTCAGAATTCATGAAAGAGACCTTGTGGGAATAGTAGATGTGTCCGTAGATGAACGTTGAGGAATCGCCTAGGAAGGATTTTCGTTGCGCTTTGTGCTCGCGCTAGCTCGAAGTGGCGAGGCTCACGTGCCCCCACTTCGACGCGACGGCACTGAGGGAGTGAGATAAATTTCCGCGTAGTGATCATAACTCACCTTCAAAATTTCATTAATCTTATTTATCAGCCACGTAAAAAGCCGGCTGTACAAAGTCCTGCACAAATTATCCCTGGCTTTTGAGGCTTCATACGCGCTGAGATCCGTCAAAATCCCGTCTTCAATCTGCCGACTTGTCAGCGCCCTCTGTAGCCACCTGTGCTCAGCACCCAGCAACTCACAAATCTCAAACAACTCTAAAACCCCAAATCACCACCAAAAATCAAACATTTACCAAAAACATACCGTATTCATTGCTAATCGCGCATCCCTCGGTACCATCTATGTTATTACAAGGCACAAACTGCAAATTACCTAATTTTAAAACAATTGCAATAACTTGAAATATATCGACAATGTCTTCAACGTTAAAACCTAGTATTTCCAATGCACTTTTCGTGTAAACAAAGAGTTTTTTGTCTTCGTCGTCGGTCAAAGTTGGCTGGTTGCGGTTTGTTTGTAAAATGGTGTAATGTTCTACATTGCGTTGGAGTTTTAGGCATTCTTAAACAGAAGTCGCTTAAATTAAGAACCGCGAGACGTTGCAAACTCACTCAGTAAATGTATATCTGCACCAGACAGTAATTGATAAAAAATGTGAAAATTTCGGTCACCTGGGGACAAAGACGTGACTCTGGCCTGAAAAGGGGGCGCTAGTAATCAGAAAGTTACGAAAAGTGGCATACCTTATCCAAAAAATCTTGTCAGCGGGAAAAATAATAATTTATTATTTACTATGATCAGGTTGTTTTTGAATTTTGGGCAAATGCTCTTACTTAGTTATATTTTGGCCTTCTTCTAATAAAAGTAAAAGCATTTGCTTGTCATTTATTATTTTAATGGCGCTTTTTCACTAAATTGGTATACTTACAGTGAGTTAAATGCCCACTCACAGGATCTCCTTTATAATCAAACTCTATATCTAGAAACTTCCCCTACAAAAAAATGGGGATAAATTAGATTAAAATTTGTTGACTGTCTTACAAATCTTGACGCGTTATCATTTTTCATAGTTCGAGCATTCCCAAAAGCCTCCAATAACGTATTAGCTTGCACTAAGCGGTCCTTCATAAGTTTAACTTCAGAAATATCACCAGAAACTAGTACTAAAAACTGTAGAACAATTCGAGCCGCCTCGGTCTTCCCAGCTCCACTTTCACCTTCAAAAACAATAAAAAAAAATTTTTCAAACTCCCAATTATAAACCCACCTGTAACAATAATACATTGGTCCTCATTTCTATCATTCAGCCACCTATACGCCGACCCCGCAATCGCATATCTACAAAAACAAATTAACCCAGAACAAGCAACCCGTCAACATACATGTGTGGGGGCAACTGAAACGGTCCCCTTTTCACGTAGGTCTCCACCAAATCGGTCGAGTAAAGCGCTAGTTTTTTGTACGGGTTGACTGACACCAGGACGTTGCCGATGTAGGTGTAGATGTGGTCGCGCTTGAACCGTTGCTGCAAATTCCCAATGAACGTGTCTTCGGTTAGAGGCTCAAGAAGTACAGAATCCCAGGCTCCCACTTCCTGCTCCAAGCTGAGCATCGCACCGCCCCTTACAGTACTGCCGCCTGCGCGGCATCTAGTATTCCCACTTCTTTGCACTGTGCCCCAAAATTTCAACGGCTGAAGCAAATGTTTAAAACGAAAGTTGCAGGGTCGTGGGGCCGGAGGAGGTGGCTCGGTCCATTTCGTGAAAACGGGGTGATTAGAGGATCGTTTCCATTTTAATTAAGTTAGAAATTATCCAATAAAACGGGCACTTGACAGGTGCGGGAATGTCAGCTGTCACTTGTCAGCGCGAGGGCTACCAACCGATGGCGAGCGGCCAATGGGAGGAGCGGGTTGTTGTCTGTTTCGCTCTAGCACGGAAAATTAATGCTCTGTTTCTTTTCATAGTGAGTGAAAGGCGAATTGAGGGTTGCCTAAAATCCGGGGGCAATGAATGAAAGTTGTTTGGGTATTTAAGCTTTTTTACTTTGAGTTTTTTTTTAAGTTATGGATTTCTAAAAAAATTAAAAAAATACCTCAACGTCAAAATTGGCCTGTTAAAAAACAAAATGTAGGGCTTATAATTTGTTCCTTTTTTTGGTGTTATACAGAGTGTTTGGAAAATGTCGGATTAACTCTTCAGTATGTTATCGAATAATAAATAAAATAATAAAAACAATATGTATAATGTAGATTACGAAAAACGTAATTTATAAAAGTAAAATTTTGATCATTTTTTGTAAAAATTAGTCATTATTACCTGTTAAGATAAAACAGATTTTGGCAAATGACAAGCCTTCCAAGAAAAAGAGAGGGTGGGTGGGCGGGGCTAGTACCTGTTAAGATAAGACTGATTTTGGCTGATGAGATACCTTCTATGAAAAGAAAGCGTGGGTGGGCGGGGAAAATTGATAAGGCTGAAAAAATTGAGAATCGAAGACATGAAAAATTGGCAAATCTAAAAATCGAAAAGTCGAAAAATTTGAAAAATCGAAAAACCAAGATGGCAAAATTAAAAATTGAAAAATTCAAATATCGAAAAATTTGAAAATCGAAAAATTAAAAAAATGGAAAATCGAAAATTTAAAAATTCCGAAAATTGAAGAACTGAAAACTCGAGAAATCGAAAAGCATAAAATTTTAATAAACACTGAAAATTTAAAATATCGAAAAGTTTCGAGGAATTCAAAAATCGAAAAATCGAAGAGTCGAAATAGTAAAAAATCCCAAAACCCAAATATCGAAAAACTGAAAAATCACAAAATTAAACGAAATATCCAAAAATTGAAAAATAAAAAAATTGAAAAATTGTGAAACCAAAAAGTCAAAAAAACAAAGTCGAAAAATCGCAAACTTAAAATATCGGAAAATCGAAAAATCAAAAACCTGAAAAATTGTAGAACTGAAGAACTGAAACATAGAAAGTCTGAGAAGTAGTCGAGAAATGGGAAAATCAAAAAATATATTAATTGAGAAATCAAAAAGTTGAATAATTGAGAAATCGAAATATAAAACTCGAAAAATTGAAAAATCTAAAAAATAAAAAGTCGAAAAATCGAAGAGTCGAAATACTAAAAAATCCCAAAACTCAAATATCTAAAAATTGAAAAATAGGAGACAATTTGAAGAATCGACAAATTGAAAAATCACAAACTTAAACGAAATATCTAAAAATTGAGAAATAAAAAAATTGAAAAATTGAGAAATCAAAAAGTCAAAAAATCGAAAAATTGAAAATCAAAAACCTGAAAAATTGAAGAACTAAAGAATTGAAACATCAAAAGTTTGGGAAATCGAGAAATGGGAAAATGAAAAAATAGATTAATTGAGATATTGGAAAACTGAAAATCCAGAAACGTCAAAATTTGAAAAATTAAAAAATGTTGAAGAATTGAAAAATCGAAATATCGAAAATTAAGAAAAAATTGAAAAATTAAAATATCATAAAACTGAAAAATGGAGAAATCTAAATATCAAAAAATCAAAAAAATACGCATTCGAAAATCTAAAATTTAAAAATCTAAAAACTGAAAAATCAACAAATCGAGATATCGAATCTCGAAAATTAAAAAAAAAATAGGAAAATTGAAAAATCAGATAATTCAAAAATCGAAAATTCGAAAAGCAGAAAAATTCAAAAATTGAGACATCGAGAAATCAAAAAGTCAAAACATCCAGAAATCGATGAGTCGAAAAGTCGAAAAATCGCAAAATTGAAAAATTGAAAATAAAATTGATAAATCGAGAGATTGAACAATCAAAACATCGAAACATCCGAATCTGGATAGATCGAGATCTCAAAAAATTGAAAAATCGAAAATTTAAAAATTCCGAAAATTGAAAAATTAAAATATAGATGAATTGGAAACTAGAAAAATCGAAAAATCTCGAACTTTAAAAATGAAAAATTAAAACATCGAAAAGTTGAATAATTGAGAAATCGAAATGTAAAACAGTCGAAAAAGTGAAAAATCTAAAAAATAAAAAATCGAAAAATCGAAAAATCCAGAACTCGAAAAATCGAAGAGTCGATATACTAAAAAATCCCAAAACTCAAATATCGAAAAGTTGAAAAATAGGAGACAAATTGAAGAATCGAAAAACTGAAAAATCACAAACTTAAACGAAATATCTAAAAATTGAGAAATAAAAAAATTAATAAATTGAGAAATCAAAAAGTCGAAAAACCAAAGTCGAAAAATTGAAAAATCAAAAACCTGAAGAATTGAAGAATTGAAACATCGAAAGTTTGGGAAATCGAGAAATGGGTAAATCAAAAAATAGATTAATTGAGAAATCGGAAAACTGAAAATCCAGAAACGTCAAAATTTGAAATACGTATTAAAAAATATTGAAGAACTGAAAAATGAAAAAATTTAAAGTTTAAAACATTGAAAAATTAAAATCTCGTAAAATTGAAAAATGAAGAAATTTAAACATCAAAAAATCAAAAAAATAAGAATTCGAAAATCTAAAATTTAAAAATCGAAAAACTGAAAAATCAACAAATCGAGAAATCGAATCTGGAAAATTAAAAAAAATGGAAAATTGAAAAGTCAAAAAATTAAAAAAATCGAAAAACCAAGATGGCAAAATTAAAAATTGAAAAGTTCAAATATCGGAAAATTGTAAAATCGAGAAATCCAAACATGAAAATATCAAAAAAATAAAAATTTGAAAATCGAGAAATTGAACAATCGGATAATTGAAAAAATCGATACAACGAAAAATTAAAAAAAAAATCGAAAATTTAAAAATTCCCAAAATTGAAGGTCTGAAAACTCGATAAATCGAAAAACCTAAAATTTTAAAAACTGAAAAGTTAAACTATCGAAAAGTTGAAAATTTGAGAGATCGAGGTGTAAAACAGTCGGAAAATTGAAAAATCTAAGTTTAAAAAACGAAAAATTAAAAATTCAAAAAGTAAAAAGTCGAGAAATCGAAAAATACAGAACTCAAATCAAAGTCATAAAAGTCGAAAAACGCAAACTTAGAAAAACGAAAAATTGAATAATCAAAAACCTGAAAAATTGAAGAACTGAAGAACTGAAACATCGAAAGTTTGAGAAGTTGAGAAATGGGAAAATCAAAAAATAGGTTAATTGACAAATCGGAAAACTGAAAATCCAGAAACGTCAAAATTTGAAAAATTGAAAAACATTCAAGAACTCAAAAATCGAAAAATCTAAAATTTAAGACATTGAAAAATTAAACTATTATAAAATTGAAAAATGGAGAAATCTAAACATCAAAAAATCAAAAAAATAAGAATTCGAAAATCTAAAATTTAAAAATCGAAAAACTGAAAAATCAACAAATCGAGAAATCGAATTTGGAAAATTAAAAAAACTGAAATATGCCAAAATCAAAAAGTTAAAAATGGAAAAATTGATATCGAGAGACTGAAGAATCAAAACATCAAAATATCCGAATCCGGATAAATCGAGATCTCGAAAAATTGAAAAATCGATAATTTAAAAATTCCGAAAATTGAAAAATTCCGAAAACTGAAAAATTAAAATATAGATGAATTGAAAAACTTGAGAAATTGAAAAATCTAGAATTTGAAAAGTGAAAAATTAAAAAACATCGAAAAGTTGAATAATTGAGAAATCGAAATATAAAACAATTGAAAATCTAAAAAATAAAAAATCGAAAAATACAGAAGTCGAAAAATCGAAAAGTCGAAGAAACGAAATATTGAAAAATCCCAAAACTGAAAGAAACATCCAAACTGAGAAATTAAAAAATTGGAAAATTGAGAAATCGAAAAACCAAAAAAGCAAAGTCGAAAATTTGAAGAATTGAGGAACTGAAAAATCGAAACTTGGAGAAAACGAGAAGCGGGAAAATCAAAAATATATAGATTATTTGAAAAATCGGAAAATTGAAAATTTAACAACGTCAAAATTTGAAAAATTGAAAAATAGAAATACTGAAGAACTGAAAAATCAAAAAATCGAGAAATCGAAAAACAAAATTTTAAAAACTAAAAAGTCAAAATATCGAAAAGTTGAAAAATTGAGAGATCGAAGTATATAAAACAGTTGGAAAATTAAAAAATCGAGAGTTTAAAAAATGAAAAATTGAAAAATCAAAAACCTGAAAAATTGAACTAAAACATCGAAAGTTGGGGAAGTCGAGAAACGGGAAAATCGAAAAATAAATTAACTGAAAAATTGGAAAACTGAAAATACAGAAACGTCAAAACTTGAAAAATTAAAAAATATCCAAGGACTGAAAAATCGAAAATTTAAAACATTGAAAAATGGAGAAATCTAAACATCAAAAAATAAAAAAAATAAGAATTCGAAAATCTAAAATTTAAAAATCGAAAACTGAAAAATCAACAAATCGAGAAATCGAATCTGGAAAATTCAAAAATCGGATAATTCAAAAATCGAAAACCCGAAAAGCAAAAAATCGAAAAACCGACAAATCAAAAAATTGAAAAGTTAAAAATGGAAAAATTGATAAATCGGGAGGTTGAACAATCAAAACATCGAAACATCCGAATCTCAATCTCAAATTTAAAAATTCCGAAAATTGAAAAATTAAAATATAAATCAACTGAAAACTTGAGAAATCGAAAAATCTAGAATTTTAAAAATGAAAAATTAAAACATCGAAAAGTTGAATAATCGGGAAATCGCAATATAAAACAGGCGAAAAATTGAAAAATCTAAAAAATAAAAAATTGAAAAATCCAGAAGTCGAAAAATCGAAAAGTCGAAGAAACGAAACATTGAAAAATCCCAAAATTGAAAGAAATCTTCAAACTGAGAAATTAAAAAATAGATTAATTGAGAAATCGGAAAATTGAAAATCGTCAAAATTTGAAAAATATAAATACTGAAGAACTGAAAAACCAAAAAATGTATAAATCAAAAAATCTAAAATTTAAAACATTGAACAATAAAAAAATTGAAAAATCTGACAACTGAAAAATCGAAACATCGAAAAATTGTACAATCAAAAAATTGAAAAGTCCAAAAGTAAAAATGAAAAAAACGAGAAATCTAAAAATCTAAACAGAAAAATTCAAAAACTGGGACATCAAGAAATCGAAAAATCAGAGGATCGAGAAATCGAGGAGTCGAAAGCCGAGAAAATTGAAAAATCGAAAAATTTTAAAAAAGAATAACTGGAAAATCGAAAATTTAAAATTCATAAAACTGAAAAATGGAGATACAGAAGACTTTGTTTTAAATCTTAGATTCTATAGTTTTTAAAATAGAATTCAATTCCCATTTTACAGAAAATAATAAGTTAGGGAAATGAAGAAACGAGATGGGCGGGGAGGGGGGGGGGCTGGGTTTAGATTTTTCTACACCCTTTCTTCATTCTAGTGACTAATATTGACATTGTTCGGTCTTCTCTTATCAAATACTAGCCCCGCCCACCCGCCCTCTATGTTATTAAGGGTTATATCATTTGCCGAAATCAGCCTTATCTTTACAAGTACTAGCCCCACCTACAACTACATACTCCATGTATGCGTAATTTAGAATCCGTGTTGAGTTTTTACCCTCAGCATCCAGATTTTTGAAAAAAAAATCAACATCGTATAACAATATTTTACAATGTAACTTTGAAATTGCAAACACCGAATTCTGTGAAATCGTGCAAATATTTTAAAATTATTTGAAACATCCTAAATCGTTAGACAAAATTTGTCCGTCATCTTACATTTTTGCCCAATTTTTTCAAATTTATGAGTGTTTTTGAAAAAAAAAACTGAGTATTAATTCATCAATCATGTCCTTCTTGAGGACACAAAATCAACCAAATTTCATTTTCTTTTTTTTCCGTTAGTTATTTTGAATTCTATTCGAATTGCAGCTTCTGATTGGTTAAGTTTGAAAAGTGGCGCGAACCGTGACGTCAACCCCACTTTTATTCTACTTGTGGTGTGAACAATTAATTTGTTGGTAGTTGTGTGAAGACGGAAATCTCTAAATACGTCATATATTTTTTCGCAATAAAATTAAAATACAATAAATAAAACAACAATCAATAAATATTAGAAAATCATTTGAACACTTAAAAATGGCAGAACTTTACACGTAGCTCTCGCTTTGGGTCGAATAAGCCAGAAAGGAGTCCAGCAACTTAGGCTCCACAAGCTCTTGTACATCTTCTACACTAATAACATCTTTCCCGCACGCATCGACGATTTTTCTTAACGTAGCCTACAAAAGAAAAATTAACAAAAAAAAAACTCTCGCAACCCCAAAACTTACCAAAGTTGCCACCAACACAGCATCGTTCGAAAACCTCTCCTCCTTCTCCCTACACATCTTGACTAGTTTCTCCACTCCCCCCAACTCCACGACCTGAGTGGCCGCTTCTTTGTCACTACATAACCTAGACAAAGCGATAATAGCTTTCTGTTGAAGCCTTTTCTCGGCTTCTTCCCCCACTCCTCCGCATTTCAAGAAACACAAAAGTGCAGGAATCGTCGATAGTTTTGTCAGGTGTTGTCTGGCCACTTCGACTGACGTCATATTGGCAACGAGTGTGGCCACTTGCTCCAGAAGATAAACCGAAGCGCATGGTCCTCTTCTGTTGACTGAATTCAAAAGAATCTCCGCTGTGTTCAAATGTAGCATGTATTTGACACACTTGGTGTCCATTGTCGACAAGTTTGCAAGAGCTGCGGCACATAGAAGAAGATTTTGACAACACTTGGTCGTCGAGGCGAATTTCGTCAACGATTTGACTAACTTCCGGGAGTGGTCTGCCAAGCCCTTGATGGAGTGGTTGTCTTCTATCCAAGGCGCGGTCACTTGGGCTAGAAGGGCTACAGCTTCGGACCTTTCGGGCTCCGGGCGGGACAAGTCTTCAGTGAGAGTTTCACTGATGATTTGGATGCCTGAGTACTTTTCGAATTGACGAACCGCGAAAGTGGTGGAACACATGGTTGATAGTGCTCTGAGGAGGAGACTCCTCATGGAGGAACCTTCACACTTTTCGCATAGAATCAGAAGAATTGGAACCACTTCGCTTTTGGTGAAGATTTCAATGAGACTTTCGTGTCGTAGACAGAGGGAGGTGATTCCAGTGACGGTGGCTCGAAGATCTAACTCTGAGCATGGATTTTCTAGACGCTCGACTAACTTTTTGATTTCTTTTTCGAGGACTGTGTGGAAGGTGGATTCCCAGAGGGTGAATAAAGGGGAGATTTGGGTGAGGAGATCGTCACGGGTGGCTTTTCTTATGGCGTCGTATTGTTTGGTTATTTTGGGGGTTACTTCTGAGTAGAGTTTGAAGAAGTCCATTATGTTGCCGGCTAGACTTTGAGCTAAAGGGCCGACGTATTTTTTCTCGCTGAAAAAGGGACAATGAGGTGCGTTTCGTACAATCGTAGGGTTTGAGTACCTGTTCAAGGTTTTGAATTCCTCTTGGAGACATTCTGAATGCGAGATGATGTTTTTGATGTTGGTGGTTGTGTAGGTGGCCATGTTGGCCACTTTTTGGTGCAGATCTGCCGCTATGGATTTGGCTTGGAGGGTCGTCATACATTCTTGGTCGTACTGGTGTCGGATTTCGTGCATCCATTTCTGGACGGCGTCGTTTTTGAGGAGTTCGGGCGACCTGTGGTGCAGCCTATATATATATGACACAACGAACACCCTGTATATAGTTAGTTACCTGTCCTCGTGGCCTCCCCAGCTACTCCCTCCCCGCCTCGCGCCCCGCATCCTGCTCACTAGATTCTTCGGCGTGGAGGTGTGCTTCGGCGAGTCCAAGCCCCCGTTGAAGAGGCATTCCAGCTCACTTTCACAGTCACTCGACAACGAAAAGTCCGCGCACTCCGCCTCGTCCTCCCGCACCTCCTCCAGAACCGCCGGCGCCGACCTGTTGAAAAACTCGGCCCTTTTGGCCTCCTCCCTCGTCGGCAAACTCCTCGACGCCCTCAGCACCTCCTCTTCCAGCGAGCGCCCGCTCTCCACTCTCTCGCTCGAGCGTGTTTTGTCTTCGACGTCCTTTGCATACTGATGATTAAGCGCGTCCTTCACGCATCTCTTGGCGTTGAATAAATTCCGGCTGACTTTGGGAGAGTGCTTGGCGAAGAGGCTCTTCCGGGGGAAGTCGGCGCCGAGGCGGCTCTTCTCGGGGGTGCTCTTCTCCTGGTAGTTGATGGAGAGGTTCTCGGGTTTGTTGGTGGTGGTTTTCTGGATTTGCAGGGGCGGCGTCTCGGTGTCGGAGAAGCCGGAGTCTTGGCTGCCGGGGCTCCCGGAGACTTCCTCGCGCCGGTCGAGGAAGTCGCTGGCCCACCACACCTTGCTGGGGCTGCGCTTGAAGTCGCTCATTCTGCGGAAAGTGAGATTGTAAGGTTTCTGAGTCAATAGCGGGATTGTGGGAAAAGTGATTCAGGTGGTGATTAGGAATGGATGGATGGTTGTGAGTAATAGAGGTAATTGCTAATGGGTGAAAATTATAAGAGACGTTAGTCGGAGGTAGAAGCTAAATTTAACGGCAACTTAGGTGCATGTAAGTTTTATCGTTCTTTATCAGTAATTTTATTATTTAATTGCCTCTTTTTGAATGACGGTGTTTTTTTTTTTATCTTATACAAAAATCAACTACTCTTATTGACAATGTTTTTCTTTATCTTATTCCACCACTTGAAATTATATATTAGATGTTTTTTAATCTTGTACTTACAAAAGATGTTTCGTTATACAATCTCACATGGCTGAATGAGTCACTGCATAACAAGGAGTGGAAGTTCATTCAAACTTTATGATCATTTTTTACGATTCTGATACATCAAAACATTGAAACCGACACAAATAATTATCAGAATTCTGGAATAATTTCTCTTAAGTTCTTGTTTTTTTATTCGAATGGAGCTCGGTTTAACTTTATTTTGGAACGTTTTTGGAAATTATGTTTCCGTTCACAAGGAGCACTAGAAAATTTACTTTCCGGAAAAGTTGCCCAAAAATGCCCAAAAAATTCTAGTACTTATATTGATCTCGACATGCTGATTTGAAAAATATAGCAATTTTAACGTTCCCGAGCAAGATTTTCGAAATATTTTGTTTGGAAGTCAAATTTTTGGAAAATCGTAAAAATTGTCGATTTTATATTGACGATTCTGAAAAAAATTATAGAAATTATGGAAGAAATGCAGTCGAGAATAACTTCTCTCGAGTCAAAAATCTACAAAAAAAATCTTTTTATGCAATTTGCGAAAAGTGCACGAAAATGGGTCAAAAATTACACAAGAGGCAGTATTAAAAAATTGACTTTTTGGAGAAGTTGCCCAAAAATCCCCAAAAATTCTGGTATATTAATCTCGACCTGTTGATTTAAAAAATATAGCGTTTTTAGGATAGTGAACCAAGATTTTCGAAATATTTCATTTAAAAGTCAAATTTTTGAAAATTCGTAAAAATTGCCGGTGTTTTATTAACGATACTGAAAAAATAATAGGAATTATGGAAAAAATGAAGTCGAAAATAACTTCTCGAGACCGAAATCTACAAAAAAAAATTCAAAAGGGGTAGTACTGAAAAATGGACTTCTCGGAAAAGTTTTACAAAAATCCTCAAAAAATTCTAGTATAGATATTATATGTATATTATTATTATTGTAGTATATTTTAACAGGTACTAGTCCCACCTACCCACCCCCTCTTTTCTTAGAGGGTATCTCCTTTCCTGTGCCAAAATTAATCTTAACTTAGCCTCGCCCACCCACCCTCTCTTTTCTTAGACGGTATGTCATTTTCTAAAACTGATTTTGGCAGATGACATAGCATCTAAGAAAAGAGAGGGTGGGTGGGCGGGGCTAGTACTTGCTAAAATAAGATCGATTTTGGCAAATGAGATACCTTCTAAGAAAAGAGCGGGTGGGTGGGGCTAGTAGCTGCCAAGACAAAACTGATTTTGGTAAATGACATACCCTCTAAAAGAGAGAGGGTGGGTGGGCGGGGTTAGTATCTGCTAAGACAAGGCTTATTTTGGCAAATGAGATTCCCTTCAAGAAAAGAGAGGGTAGGTGGGTGGGGCTAATAGCTGCCAAGATAAAACTGTATGTCATTTGCCAAAACTGATTTTATTAGATGACTTAGCCTCTAAGAAAATAAAGGGTGGGTGGGCGCGGCTAGTACTTGCCAAAATAAGATCGATTTTGGCAAATGAGATACCTTCTAAGAAAGGAGAGGGTGGGTGGGCGGGGCTAGTACTTGCTAAAATAAGATCGATTTTGGCAAACGAGATACCTTCTAAGAAAAGAGAGGGTGGGTGGGCGGGGCTAGTATCTGCTAAGACATGGCTGATTTTGTCAAATGAGAAGAAAATACAGAGGGATGGGGTGGTGCTAGTACCTGTTAAGACCGATTTTAACAATGACGTATCCTCTAAAAAATGTAATTAAATTATTATAAGGAAAGACACTAGAAGCTCCAAAGCACTTTTAAATTCGTTCCAAACAGTACTAGGCCCGCCCATCCGCCTTCTCTTTTCTTCGAAGTTATCTCATTTGCCAAAATCAGTCTTATCATAGCAGGTACTAACCCCGCCCACCCACCCTTTCTTTTTTTGGAAGCTATGTCATCTGCCAACATCAGTTTTACCTTAGCAGCTACTAGCCCCACCCACCCACCCTCTCTTTTCTTAGGGGGAATCTCATTTGTCAAGATCAGTCTTATCTTAGCAAGTTCTAGCCCCGACCACCCACCCTCTATTTTCTTAGAGGGTATGTCATTTGCCAAAATCAGTTTTATCTTAGCAGGTATTAGCTCCGCTCACCCACCCTCTGTTTTCTTAGAGGGTATCTCATTTGTCAAAATCAGTCTTCTTAGCAGCTACTTTTCGGAAAAGTTGTCCAAAAATCCCCAAAAAATTCTAATATATTGACCTCGTCCTGCTGATTTGAAAAATGTGGCGTTTTTAAGATCCAGAACCAAGATTTTCAAAATATCTCGTTTGAAAGTAAAATTTTTGAAAATTCTCAAAAGCTGCCAATGTTATATTGATGATTCTGAAGAAATGATATGAATTATGCATGAAATGGAATTGAAAATAAATTCTTCAGGCTGAAATCTACAAAAAAATCTCTTTGGGCAATTCACAAAAGTGCACGAAAAGGGGTCCAAAAATTACACAAGGGTATTGAAAAATTGACTTTTCGGAAGAGTTGTCTAAAAATCTTCAAAAATTCTAGTATTCACCTCGACGTGCTGATTCTAAAAATATAGCGTCTTTAAGATCCCGAAATTTTTGAAAATTCCAAAAACTGCCAATGTGATATTGACAATACCGAAGAAATGATAGGAATTATGCAAAAAATCAAATTTAAAATATTTTCTTCAGGCCGAAATCTACAAAAAAAAATCTCTTTGGAAAATCACAAAAGTGCTCGAAAATGCGTCCAAAAATTATACAAGGGCCAGTATTGAAAAATTGCCTTTTCGGAAAAGTTGCCCAAAAATCCTCAAAAAATTCAAGTATACCTCGACCTGCTAATTTGAAAAATATAGCGTTTTTAGGATTGCCGACCAAGATTTTCGTTTTAAAGTCAAATTTTTAGAAAATCGTAAAAATTGCCGATGTTTATATTGACGATTCTGAAAAAAATGATAGGAATTAAGGAAGAAATGAAGTCAAAAATAACTTCTCTCGAGACATAAATCTAAAAAAAAATCTCTTTAGCCAATTTAGGAAAGTGCATGAATATGGGAGAAAAATTGCACAAGGGGTAGTACTGAAAAATTGACTTTTCGGAAAAATTTTACAAAAATCCTCAAAAAATTCTTCTTTTCTTAGAGGGTATCTCATTTGCCAAAATCAGTCTTATCTTAGTAAGTTCTAACCCCGCCCACCCACCCTCTGTTTTCTTAGAAGGTATGTCATCTGCCAAAATCAGTTTTATCTTAGCAGGTATTAGCCCCGCCCACCCACCCTCTCTTTTTTTGAGGGTATTTCATTTGCCAAAATCAGTCTTATCTTAGCTATTTTTCGGAAAAATTGCCCCCAAAAATCCCCAAAGAATTCTAATATATTGATCTCGATATGCTGATTTGAAAAATAAAGTGTTTTTGAAAATTCGTAAAAATTGCCGGTGTTTGATTGACGGTTCTGAAAAGGTAATAGGAATTATGGAAAAAATGAAGTCGAAAATAACTTCTCGAGGCCGAAATCCACAAAATAAAAAAATTAAAAGGGGTAGTACTGAAAAATTAACTTCTTGGAAAAGTTTTACAAAAATCCTCAAAAATTCTAGTAAGTATATTATATATTATTATAATTCTAGTACATTTTAACAGGTACTAGCCCCACCTACCCTCACTCTCTTTTCTTAGAGGGTATCTCATTTACCAAAATTAGTCTTAACTTGGCAAGTTCTAGCCCCGCCCACCCACCCTCTTTTTTCTTAGAGGGTATGTTATGTGCCAAAACTGATTTTGGCAGATGACATAGCCTCTAAGAAAAGCGAGGGTGGGTGGGTGGGGCTAGTACTTGGTAAAATAAGATCGATTTTCGCCAATGAGATACCTTCTAAGAAAAGAGAGGCTAGGTGGGTGGGGCTAATAGCTGCCAAGATAAAACTGTATATCATTTGGCAAAACTGATTTTGGCAGATGACTTAGCCTCTAAGAAAATAGAGGGTGGGCGGGCGGGGCTAGTACTTGCCAAAATAAGATCGATTTTGGCAAATGAGATACCTTCTAAGAAAGGAGAGGGTGGGTGGGTGGGACTAGTAGCTGCCAAGATGAAGCTGTATGTTATTAGCCAAAACTACTTTTGGCAGATGACATAGCCTCTAAGAAAAGAGAGGGTGGGTGGGCGGGGCTACTAGTACTTGCTAAAATAAGATCGATTTTGGCAAATGAGATGCCTTCTAAGAAAAGAGAGGGTGGTTGGGCGGGGCTAGTATCTGCTAAGACACGGCTGATTTTGTCAAATGAGAAGAAAATAGAGATGGATGGGGTGGTGCTAGTACCTGTTAAGACCGATTTTAGCAATGACGTATCCTCTCAAAAATGTAATTAAATTATTATAAGAAAAGACACTAGAGGCTCCAAAGCACTTTAAATTCGTTCCAAACAGTACTAGGTCCGCCCATCCGCCTTCTCTTTTCTTCGAAGTTATCTCATTTGTCAAAATCAGTCTTATCATAGCAGGTACTAACCCCGCCCACCCACCCTTTCTTTTTTTGGAAGCTATGTCATCTGCCAACATCAGTTTTACCTTAGCAGCTACTAGCCCCACCCACCCACCCTCTCTTTTCTTAGGAGGAATCTCATTTGCCAAGATCAGTCTTATCTTAGCAAGTTCTAGCCCCGCCCACCCACCCTCTCT